AGCTTTTGCAGCTCTTACACAAATTCCTCTGTGGTAGCAAATGATTTTGACTTCTTTCTCATTTGCATGAGAATAGACAACTGATGCAAAAAGTCCTCTTTGATGCAGTTCTCTACTTCCCTAGAAGGCCTGAAATATGAGCGAAATGCTGCCCCTCTGCAACTAATTAGCATTGCACATTTTTTTCTTGATAATAACAAGTAGGCAATTTTAGTAACAAGAAAGAAAATTTAGGGTAACTGATCACATTTAGCACAAATGTGTTTATTATTGGCCAGCACTGGCAAAGGAAGTGGTATTCTAAAGGAGGCAAATGCTCATACTATAATCTAATTCTGATCAGGTCTCTGAACGTTATTGGTTGTATAGCCAAAGTGACAACAGCCAAGCATAATACAGGGCTATCAGCAGTCTTGGAGGGAACACAACTGTTTGCACTTTATTTTTTTTATGAGGGGAACCAAATCAGATAGGAAACACCCTCCAAAAGCCTTCTGAGAACTGAGGATGTTCAGTGCCCACATCGGACTGCTGACTGATTAGTTTGAGAGAAAGGGACAAAATGCAAACATGTGGGAGGAGGACTGGAAGGGCCGGAAAAAGAAGATGGAAGAAGAGATGCAGAAACTCAGCCTGTTCCCAGCTGCTGACTACCTGCTCTATGTAGTCGGAGCAGCCTCCTTTGATGTCTTCCCTCAGCCACACACTTTTTTATGGAGGCCCCACCTGCCACATCCCTGTTCTGAAACCACGTCTCAATACAGTGGATTATATATGTTTCAAATTATTAAGATCTGCCTCAAACTTATGGTTGCTATCAAAGGTCTGCCCCTAAGGAGATCAGGGCTTCATCCTGAGCCTGCTCTGGGCCACCCTAAAGCCCAACAAACAGTTCTATTCCCAGGGCTGGCTGAGTTGAAAATGGCCCTTTCTTTCTCAGGATTGCTTCCCTCTTACAAAAGTGGAAGGTGGAATTTCAGGGATTTTGGAGGAGGTTTGGGAGAAATTTCACACCCACTCCCCTCTTTATAAGCCTTGTCACATTATGCTGATTTAAAGAAAAATAATAAAAGGCCCTTTTGGAGGTGGAAATTGTCTGAAAGGTAGGATAAAAAAATAGGCTTGTGTGTGGAAGGCTGCTCATGCTGTGGGCTTCCCTGCCATGCTTCCTCTCCACTGCAGCCCAATGAAGCATCGAAAACCTCAATTTCTACCAAATGCCTTTGCCTGGTTTCTGGTGATGTTTGCCTCTGAGAGCATGTTCGGTCCACATCAAATCAGAGGGAGTTTCTATCCTTGGGAACAGATTCATGGGCAAGAAAGAGGGCTGCAGCATATTGGAGGCTGAGGACAGAGCCACCATGCAAGTCACCTTCTTGTTGCCCCAGTCTAGATACAAAGCCATAATAAATATTTTCTTCTCCTGAATCCTTAGCAACAAACCTTGGCTGTAAGGCAAGATTAGCCGCCTCTTTTAAGCATCTTCTTCCCTCCTTCAAATCCCCCAGGAGCAGTGCCTCATTCTTCTATTACTTATTGGGTGTTGAATTGTGTCTAGCTTAACCTTTCCTGTTTCCTGAGAGAACATCACTTTTTTCCCCTTCATCGCAAAGTCATCTCACTCTAGTCTAGTCTGCTCCATCATAAACTTTGCTCAAACAGATACACTGTAAAATTTTATTGGCTGCTAGGAAGGACAGCAGGTACAAAGTTAAACAAAACTTGTAAAAGAAAAAAAATAGCTTGCTGCTAATTTTAAAAGTAGACAAGGAAATGAATATGGAAGACAAAAATTTGACCATAACTTAGAAATAATTACTAGTCTCCATGGCTGATTAAGGAGGAAGCAACCTGCATGCCTTGTTTTCATCAAACAGTGTAAGCTACAGAAAGCGCGACCACCAGTATAATAACCTCACTCTAGCACAGAGATGGGTGCAAGACAGATTTCAATATGCTGGGAAGCTGCATACCGCAAAGCCTTCACCAGCAGGCTCAGTGGACAGGAATGCTGGAGGCTGAAATCAGAAAGCATCTGGATATCTACTTTCTACCACCCTCCAGCATACTGCGAATGTCGAGTGCAGTATACAACTATTGTTTGATGATATGAGAACTAACTCCATTGTGGTATCAAGTGCAGGATTAAGAATACACAGGTTACTGGAAGAGCCTAATAGCTCTGGGGGGAAAAGAAGTCCTTTCGTCCTTCTACCAGCTGCAAATGACTCTACATAAATGTGTAAATAATGTTCACTTATTCATTGGCAATGTTTCAAAGTGACATTGGGTTTTTCAAAAGAAAAGAAGCTCCAGGTAGAATGTGATTTACATTATAACTAATGTGGCTATATTCATTCTAACAAGACAGATGAGAAAGTAATATCAGTCAGAAAACAACAATTCAACCTGTCTGGAACTGCTGAAATAATATAAGCTGACAGTTTATCATTTTGTGAAAACTTCAAAATTTATTTAGGGTCTGTTATTCTCTTTATATTCCATCTCTCGGAGATGGTGCTAAATTAGAAACGAGGCTTTAGAGTACTATTTAAAATGTAAAAGAAAACTGTGAAGATCCTGGCTTTAAAAGTCAGGCTAGCTCATTTTTCAAATGACAGCAACTTTCTGAAGGAGACAATTTATATTTAGATCCTGCAATAACTAAAGGACACAGATATAAACAACACTTCATGAAATGCAGATTCTGAGCCTTGTCCATGGCCATACTGATATTTCAATGTATGTCAAGGAAGTTGTTCTAGCTTGATTTTTCACCAGGTGAATTGAGATCTGTTAATTGTACTTCCCCCTACCCCCCACACACACATTCCCAATGTAGCCACTGATGGAAAGTAATCAAATGCCTGTTCTGATGTAAGTGTTGGTACAAAGTGATAACATGTACCAAATTGCAGCAAGAGAGAGTGCATTTGCATGTTTATAATGCATGTGACATATTTATTTCTACACTGCTTTTCTGTAGCCAACTGTTGCAATTTACCAAAGGTTAGAAAATAAAAAATAACCAAATAAAAAACAGTAAAGCATTAAAGCACACTGAAATATTGGAACAACAAAATCTACATTAAAAGATGTGTCTTGACTCCTTTCTTGACTTCAGAGAGAGTAAGGCCCAATTGCAACTCCAAAGAAAATGTGTTTCAGTGTTTGGAGCAACAGTGGAGAAAGCCGTTTCCTGTGGATCTGAACCCAAACCCTCTGCAAGTGATGACTTCTTAAAAGGGCCCATCCTGATGACTAAATAACTTAGCAGTTCATACTGAAATAGGAGATGCCTCAGATAGCCAGGCCATAAGCCACCAGAGCCGCAAGGATCAAACCATCACCTTGAACTGAGCCTGGGGAAAAGCTGGCAAACAATGCAGATCTTTCAGTACTGGGGTGACGTGATCACAGTAGTGCATACCAGTTAATGGCCTAGCTGCCGCATTTTGCATGAACTGAAACTTCCGCATGCTTTTATAAGGAAGCCCAAACTGTGTGCAATTGACCAAGGCATGGATTGTTTTACCAGCTCAAACTGATTCGGGAATGGTTGCAAGTGTGTGTGCAAACAATCCTTTACCACCACTATCAACTCTAGTGATTCAAGGGCAGTGTAGGACCCAGGAGCACAGCCTGACTATGAATGTGATATTTCAGGCAGAGAATGACTGCATCTTAAGCAGGCTGAATCCTAATTCCATGTCGTGAGCAGGCCACTTCCCTCTTTTTTCCCCCTTTCAGTAGATACAAAACAAAATCTTGGAATCACAGTTCTTTTATTGGACCTGGTTACAGAACAGTTGAAATCAGTGTAGCAATCTGTTTGAGATGTGGGAGAAGCATTTGCCCATGTAAACAGCTTAATGCAAAGTGAAACTTCCCCTCCTTGCTCCTGCTGCTTGTGGAAGACCGTTTCATAATTGGCCTTCTTGCTTCACCTTCATCTCCTGACAACCAAGGAACTCTATCGCCTTCCACTGCAGCTCTGACATGGCTCCATCTATTTGTCAGGCTGGTTGGTGCTCATGCGCAGCCTGAGATACTTCACTAGGTAACCTTGAAATGGTCAAGCCCTCTCCACACACTTGCTGCTCTGCCTCCTCCTCAGAATCAGACCAATCAGAGTAGACTGTAATGTGGGAGACGGGTCCTCTCTCCATATACCCGAGCCGGGTGACCAACAGTACCACCTGTCTTCTTCAGATTTAATCTCATTAAGCTCATCCAGCCCATTTTAAAACTCGGGGAAGATCCAGAGGTGTTGGCAGCTTCCTTGGAATCAGGTAACAAAGAGCAATGGAGCAGCACTCAACAGCTTATTGATGGAATCTCATTCCAAAGCTATGACTGTTCTCTTCCAGCTTCATGCAGATGCTGTATTAGAACAGAAGCCTGTGGGACACCACAGACCAATGGCCATGCTGCCAAATAGTTGTCCTACCGCCATCTAGACATGGGATCACAGGAAGGACTGGAAGCCCTAAAATACGGTGCTCTCAAGGTTTATCACTATCTGGTAGTCCAGAAGGAGACCATGGTATCAAAAGCTACTAAGATATCCAGAGGAACAAATATGACTATTCACCCCCACCCCCCACAGTTCCAGGTATAACCCACAAAGCTAACCAAAGCTCAGTTCCCTGTGCCAGCCAAAACTCCAACTGAAAGGGGTCCATATCCACATGTGTTTGGAGCTGCGTGCCTTCTCTACAACCTTGGCCAAGAATGCATCATTCAAGGCTGTCTTCTAACTTTGCAAATTTTTTGGGGTTAGAAGCAGTTTGTCAGTGATGGTTTTATTACTGCCTCCTTCAAGCAAGAGGGAACATACAAATGGGTATTTCATGCATATACATTCATATGGAATCAGATAAATGGACACTACACAGATTTCTGTGATTACAATGCCTCCCGCACTGTAAACGCTCAAAAAATGAATCTTACTATTAGCAACCGCAATTACATTTGTGACATATTTCAAAAGCTCTTACCCATTCTCAGCACTTGTGTGGACAGCTGAGACAATACCTTCTAATATTTGGAAAGGGTCTGTTTTGAAAGAATATTGAACTCCATCTTCGCTGTCAAGAGAACAGAGCAAAACAAAATTTGAAGAAATATCACTTTAGAATGAATATTTCAGAATGCTTTAAGCTTTAAGCATGTTATGCTGCTTACGTAGCAGCAGATAAAAATTACACACTTTTCTGTTGAAATGTTGTCCTTTATTACTGCCACAATAAGTTAAGAGAAAATTATGAAGCAAAAGTGGAAGCTCAACTCCTCAATTATCCCTAGGTTTATAGGTTAGTACTAGCACCTCAGATCAGACTTCTAAGCAACCAGGCATCCAATCCAAGCATACCAGGATTGGTGTTCTATAATAGGACCTTCTGGTTCCAGTTATTAGTCTGGCTGCCTCATTTTGCACAAGCTGCAACTTTTGAACCATCTTCAACATCAACCCATATAGAATGCATTGCAATTGCCTAACTTGGGGATTACCAGAGCAATGATTATTAAAATCAGGCTATCCCTATCCAGATAGTTGAAGCTGAAAGAAGGAACTTGGTGGCATGGAGACCACCTGAGGTTCAACTGACAGAGAGGGTGCCAGCAGGACCTCAAAGCACTGAGACTACTCCTTCATGGAGAGGGAAACCCCATCCAGAACAGGTCAAACACCCCTCATCTGGGGAGAAGAAGCACCTGCTTACAGTTTCTCAGTCCTGTCTAGACTGAGCCCTCATCTAGTCCATTCTAATAGCCAGGCACTGATTTAAAACATCTACAGCCATACCTGCTGGAGATGAAAAGGAGAGACAAACCTCTGTGTCATCAACATACTGACGGCAACGCATCCTGGACAACCACACTCGGCAATTTCATGTTGTTTAAAAGCCTTGCTTTGTTTGTAAATGTTTAATATACACTACCTTGGCTTGTCAACAAAAAGTCAGTGTAAAAATACCTCAATAAAGAAAGCAGGTGGGACTTTAAGTTTCTAACTAACATCACTAGTCAGGTAATATATTTGACTAATGGAGGGTTTACAAGGTTGGTCTTGCTTAAAATGTGAGCCTAAACACTGGCAGTGGACTCTTACTCAGAAGTAGGCCCTGTTGATACAGGTCATCATCGTGGGTTATTCAACACACAAGCTGCAGCACATGTAGGCACCCAGTTGCATATTCTGAGTTGTGCAAATCCGGCAGGCATGGTTTATGTGAGGGTTGAACAACTCTTACAGAACCCAGGATCACTGGGTCTGCTTGACAAGGCAACCCCTAAGTGGGGTTCGCATATTTAAAATGAGGCCACATGTGCCCCACAGCCTCACTCATGGTGGGGGAGATGTTTCATGTGAATAGCCCCACGGGTTTCAATGGGACTTATTCCCAGTGACAGCATGTTCCGGTTTGCAGCTATTATTTCCTTTAACAACATACTATTAAAAGTTTAAAAAGTAATTTAACTCACCTTAAAGCAGCAACCACTTTGTTCACAGCTGTCTGCACTACATCTCTAGGTGAGAGTCCCAGATCGCCAACAGCAACACTCAATAACTTCTGGATCATATCCAGGGGCTGACCATCTATGCACATAGTTACAGCTTGCTCATTGATTTTCTCTTTTTCCGACCTGGATAAATCATACTGATGTCCATATTCCCGAAGTATATTCTGTAATGAGTGGTATTTTAAATACACGTGGGACAAACCACTTTTCCTTCTCAGGATTTAAACTCAATAGGTCAACATTCATTAAAACCTCAGATTATGTTACTAACTGAGGCAGACACAAGAAAGAGCTTTCCTGAGAACTCTCAAACTGCAGACGAATAAATTACAACAGAAGCTCTTACTCCCAGCCTTGCATAAAGGAATGTTAAGAACTAATTATGTAAGATTCAAAAGGATAATACTGCTGTAGGAATATCCACGCTTACTTTACCAAAAAAGAAAAAAGGAGGTTTCTGCAGCTTTTACCTTAAGTTAACTTTACAACCTGAAACTTAAGGTAAACGGAATTTGATTTGTTGGGGCGTGTGCCCAGAAGGAACTATGAAAGGACATAAAAATGAATCAAGGGAAGGTTTAAGGGGGCATCTAAGGGAACAGGGAGGGGAAGAGATGAAAACTGATATAGCTATGAAATCTTCCCGAATACAGATACTGCGCAGGTGCAGCACCCATATATGTGTGATGCACAGAGACCATGACAAAGAAAGGCAAGATAAAAAGTCTCCTGAAGTCTCTCCAGTCACCCCATCCCCTTAAAACTCCATTGCTAGGTGCATGAGAGCAACAGTCTAGTCAAAATGCAGAGCAGAAGGCACAGGAAGGTAAAAATTAGCTCTGCTGTTCCTTCCACCTTGCACTGGATCAACATGAGCAGCCATGTTCAGAAGCTTGCCCTTATCTCCAAAGGACTGCACCCTGAGAATCTCATGGAAAAGAAACCCTGAAGCCCTGGCATTTCTGCAGATGGATTTTTTAAAGAAATAAATCTCAGTTTGATCAATATCAAGGCTAGGAAGACAAAAAGAACAAAAAACATGATTGGAGAAGGTGAGAAGAAATGAAGCATTTACTGGGTGTTTTCCAGTTCCAGTTTTGTAACTGAAACAAGTACAAAATGCACAAAGGCGCCCTTGCAGTTTTCTTATGTACACCTTGATCTGGTTGGGCTAAATATTTTTTATTTACCTGGTCACTGTTTTTCAGGTAAGAAATAAAGCTGTGGCTAAGTGTTTCCAGATGTGCAAGAGACTGCCGCAGGTGATTCAGGGCATCCTCGTAACTAATTTCCCTGTTAACCACGCCTTCTATGCTGTCCTCCTCAGAAGTCCCTTTTCCAGCTTTTTCAGCAATGTGTTTCACTGATTTAATAGCCTTCTTTGTCATCTCCACCCGGGAATCTACGGACAGCTGAGAAAAAGATAATGTTCATCTCATCATAAATTGTCACTGGCATTTGCAATACAAGGGGTGCCTGGATATACATGAATCAGTGTAGGAGTAGCTGAGAAATGTATACTAATTAAGAGATTGTCTTTGCTGGTACAGAACAAGTGTGTGTTAAATACAACAGAAAATGAACAAAAGAGAGTCTTGTGACTTGAAAAGAGCCGCCCCTTTCAAATTCTAATCCCACGCAAGCTCTTTTTTTTTTCACAACTAGGTTTTCTTGACTGATTCCATTATCCAACTTTAAAAATCCTTCCTTAAACACACACACATCCTCTCTTTCAGCATACTGCTATGTAGCGATCTTGAGGCACAACCTTGTATGTTCCAGATGGCTGGACACATTCCTTTGAAGGCATCAGTTGGAAGTTCCTACCCTTGATTCATGTTAGCCTATGGTTCAAAAAGAGTGACAAACAAACGGAGTGCCAACAGGAGGTTGGCACATTTCCGTGTTTGTTTTGTTTTCTTTTTAACTAATGGGTCTATCAAAAAAGCACACTGTGGTTTTCAATAACTACATGTTGTGACTCTCATTATGTTTCTGTAATGGATGCTGCTGGTTCCTTCACCTCACACAGTACTGCTGTTTCCCAGAAAATCAAAACTGGACTGCGCTGTACTACATCACCTTGGTTCTGGTCCAGAGACTAAAGGCAGAGAAAGGAAATGCAGACGCACCAAAATGCCTTAAAACCTCTTCCAGTTTTACTGTCAACTCCTGATTCTTTTACTATCCAAATGAGCAGCTGAGTATATACCTCCTATCAGGGGAATTATATTTATTTGTCAGAATTGTGACAACTAGTCTAAAAAACTCCAATGGAATTGTATTTTTTTACGCATATATCCTCTGGTGAAGATTTATTGTTCTGAAGTCCCAAAATACAAGCAGTTTCCTTGAGCAAGCTTTATCTTTCATTTAGTGCATTCAACATGTGATGTGCCTTCTCTGCAGTGACGCCCAGACTGTGCAATGTGCTCCCCAGAGAGGTTTGCCTGGCGCTGAGCTTATATTCTTTTCGGCGCCAGGTGAAAACCTTTTTATTTGAACACTATTTTAAGAACCACTGATTTTAGAAGTTAACAGTCGCTTTCTTCTTATTTAATTTTATCTGATTGTATTTTTATTAACTATTTATTGTTCCTGTTTATTGTTATTGTCTATTGATTTTTATTGTTGTTCTTGGTTTTACTGTTGTAAGCCGTCCTGAGATGTTGTCATAAAGGACGGCATATAAATGGTTTAAATAAACAAACAAATGCTTCCCATCTTGTAAAGCTTAACTATTTATATAGGGTTGAATTGAGACTTGGTCAGATTTAGAGAAAACATTGGAAAGGATGGGAACTAAATTAGTGACAACTAACTGAAACCCCTTTGATTTAAATGGCTCTTCCCTGACTAAGTCTCAATCCCAGTCCTTACTCTGCACAGCTGACAGGATCCAAAGGTAAAGGCAAAGTAAGTAACAATGTTTGTAAAGTAAAATTCTATTTAAAAAAAAAAGGTGCTGGCGTATACTTTGAGACAACAATTGGCATACATGAGATAACTGAAAGCCAATCCTGGCAGTATCAGTAAAGCTGCAAACCTACATACTTTTTCTTTGGAATAAGTATCATTCAGCTCAATGGAGTTTCTTTTGAGTACACAAAGAATTTGACTGTGTATATATACAGATGGATCTGTCAATCAGATCCATAAAAGTATAGAAGCCATGAGAACACCTCAAGATAGGACACTCAGGTGATGTACTAAATGGGCCTGGTTCACACTTGATCCATTATGGATTCACTTTGCTGAAATTCACTGCATTTGAGATAATAAGAAAGTTCTCCTGTAACCATATATTCAAACAGGCAAGCCACAATTTTGCAAAATGCACATATTTATTTTATTTTATTTATTAAGACATTTTTATGCCTTATGACCCTATGACATATGACCCTTATTGTTCCCCTAATACAGATAGCAGGAGTACTGCTCCCTAAGAACAGCCTTACAAGTATGCTATTTTTTACTTAATGTATGGAGCAGAAAGCCACTTTCATTTCAAGGCTTTGCTTTGCTCAGACAAAATTGTGGCAGTAATGGGTTGGATCCAGAGTGTCACTCCTACAAACTGAAGGTCCCCTTCTGCTCACAGAACAGAGGTGCAGCTCTCTGTGTAGCCCTCTTACACTGTTCCAGCACATCCTTCAGCCCTCCAAAGCAACTTTATCGGTGTGACTGAGGCCTGCTGCAAGCACCACTTCCTTCAGTAGCAGTGCCCTTTAAATGGAAGTAGAACTCTGGATCCAAGCTCTAGTGTCTTTATATAATATTTCTGGGAAAGTTGACTACTTTTTTCTTCCTTTTTGTACGTGTTATGCAAAATCAGCATATGATTAGCATATCTATTACTTTGCTAGGAGAACTATTTCCACTTTCATTTTCTGCATTAAAATGCTCAGATCTTGGATGAAGTGATACAGATGGCAGCATTATGTATATAGTTGGCTTGTTGTGCTAGATACTTAAAAAAACAAGTGTTTGTCATCCTCTGTAGTCACAATGATCTTGCAAGCAGAGACTGCACAATTTACAAGAATACCAAAGCAAGACAATGGTGCTTTAATTGTGCATTCATTTCTGCATGGTGATAAACTACAGCATTACAAAATAGCATTAACATTGCCTATGTTTCCTAAACATGCAAACAACAAGTTTCCTGATTTCAAAGATTATTTTTTTGGGTGGCAGGGATGGTGATAGAAGACTGATGCCATTATTTAAAATGGATATGAAAGAGCAGGCATTTTATATGGGAAGTAAGCAACAGGTGATATTTGCAAATTAAATTTCTCTCATACTTTACACCAGAAGGAAGTTACAAGCTCTCAGTGTAAAATAAAGCATTTCTTAGATTTTATACTATAACTGAAAACAGTACTTATATGTGATTGAACTCTGCTATCCAGTAATTCTAGGTAAACCTGCCAGATAAATATAAATATCCTGTTAACTTTGTTAAACAGTTTCAGCATCTTATATTGCCACAAAAATAGGTGGTGACAGCAGATAAAACTGCAAATGATGAAGCAAAACTTGTAATGCAAAGGAATCAATAATAAAAAATATAGACAGAGAGGTTCAGATATGTTGGCACATCTATGTTTTCAAAAACATTGACAAAATGGAGTATTTTGACAGGAAAGATAGCTGTAATAAGAAATCTGTTCAAACTAAAGGAATGTATGCTAGATGAAAAGGATGGCTTCTTTCCAAAATCCATGCCCAGATTTTTTTTTAAAGGAAGTTTTCTTTCAAGAGACCCCTTTAATCCATAGCACTATGATCCTCTACATTAGCAAGCTAGTAGAAGATTTAGTCTTCATTAGCAGGAAGTTGACAATTTAGTGTTCAGCCTAAGTGAATACAAGTTAACAACTCTTTGGTCAACTATGCATTGTAGAAACTACTTACAAATTGCACTTTCCTTCAGAGAATAATCACCTCAAGATAGATTCAGTTTAGATTGCAACCAGGGTCTAAAGTCTTAGCAGGATGTTAATTATTTCTCTTTTTAAACCAAATGTCTATACATATCTCTCATTTCAAAGTAGTATGAACAACTTCAACCAATCCCTGCATGCAGGGAAGGAGAAGGAGAGGGATTCCTATTACACAAGTGGAAGTCCACTCATTTGACGTTGGATGTCTCTTGAAAAGTCAGACTGAATATGTATTGAAGTAAAGGCAAAGGTTTAGAGCAATAAAAACAAGATATATGAATGCACACTATGCAGTAGTAAAGTTGTATTTACCTTGGTGACAGCTTTGGAGGAAAAAGTAATTTCATCCATGAAATTGGTAATATCTCCTGGGCGAAGTCTATCAAAGTACTTGGCACAGACATCGTAGGAATGTAACCATTCTGCTATGGTTTCTGGAACTTTTTTAATAAGATGGGGATCCCCATTCCAGAAGAGTTTTTTAATCCAAATGGCATAAACAGAACTTGGGGAAAGCATCTGTTCATCTTTTTCAGGAATTTTAGGAGCGAGCTTGGAAATTGATAGAATATTTTGACTCGTGAGGATAGGTTCCAAAGCTGCCAGAGGACTCACATTTTCTTCTGTTAGCTTTTTGTAATTGAGTCCTAATTAACAGAGAAAGATAAAGAAGCTTGAATATTACACAATTTAAGAAAGAATTCACACCTAGAAACTCTGTCATAAAACAAGAGCCACCATTTAGGAGTGCCAGAATGTTATCATCAGTGTTTCTGGACTCTCTACATGAGCATTTGCTCCCTGCTTTCTGCACAGCATGCCCGGGTTATGCAAGGGCCTTTTAAAAAATAAAGTATGCTTGTAAATGAAGCAGGAATTACAACACACACACTAGTGAGCTTTATGGCCATCAGACCATGCAGTGAAAGAAGGTGTGAAGGGGGTTGTGGAGACATACAAGTTATTGTTGCTTCTGACCCATGATGCATGGCATTTCTCTGCGTTTGGGTGATTCATAGCACTTTCTGATAAATGCTAACTCAGATTTAAGTTCCATGGTTCTCAATAGGGATTGCACTTGGATATGTATGGATAGGATCACATACTCATTGATTTTTCGTAAGATTCATAAGCTGGAGTTCCGAGTGCTTCAATGGGCGGAAGTAGAGGGTGGGCACTGGTGGACCCATCAGTACAATGCTAGAGTTGATGCAATGGATACTATTTCAGTTTCAGATTAAACTTAATCTGAAAGTTTAAGATTAACTTTCTTCTTCTCCTCCCTCTACACAGCTTCATATAGCATAAGTCCACACACAGATATGTGAGAATACACACTTCTTTTTGTTGTTATTGTCTGAATTTTCACAAATTAATAAATTTCCCCACATCTATCTCTGAGTAGTATGAATCATGAGAAATTGATAGATTTGTTGCCATTAGTTTGATTTAATTTAATTTTAGGTTTTCCATGTTCCAAGTTATAACCGTTACATGTTGTCATGCTAAACCTGGACTAGATTTATAAACACCTATTTTAACATCATGTTTTGCTTATGAGAAAAACACAAATGAACTGCCCCACCACACACACACAGAATAGTTGACAAAATGGCAGCACCACATACCTGGAGAAACTGCCTTGAATTTTTTCAGCAGACGTATGTGAGTTTCAGGTTTGATAGCATGTTTCACAAATTCGGAACAGGCACAATTCTCAAGGAGTGTGAAATAATACAGCAGACGCTGGTGATCTCTACCTTCAATAGTTGGGTATACATATTTTGCCATGTGCTCATGAAAGGCTTCAGGGACAGATTTCAAAGTCTCAAACAGACCAAGACTTTGAGCTCTCTCTTCTATTTCTGTTGTGGATAAACTGTTATGGTAAAAAGGAACATGTTTTGTAACTTTAAAGAACAAAACTAACTTTTCATGAAGGCAGTTATTTTGCAGCTTCAGTCAAATCATAAACTGTCATCTACAGAGCAACCAGATTCATAAACAGACTTTTACACAAACATAAGAACTCTGCCTTAAAAGTATGTTTTTTCTATCAGCAGCTCAAGTTTAAGCTGCTTGTTTGTTTGTTTATGTATGCAACTTATATTGTGCAATTAAACTAGTCTCAAGGACTCTCTAGTTCTTGTTCATAATTAGATTTTACTGAATCTCTCATCAAGTTGAGTATTCAACTTCTTTTTCCTTATATTTGAGAGGGACAGCGAGACAGAGAGAGAGAGAGAAGGTTTTTAGCTGTCTCATAGCTTGTTTACGGACCGAAGATAAACATATGTTTTATTCCTCTTACTAGAAGGTAAGCCAGTTTAAGAAGGTAGTACCAACAGATCAAATGCAAAACAAAAAGCAATGTTGTACAGTACCACATTAGAAATAAATCCCAGTCCATTTTCAACAACAAAAACTCATGTCCTGCTCTTCAGCTCCTCCATTTCCATTGAACCAGCTGGACCACCACTAGTGCAACAGGCAAACACACTGGCAATAAGTGAAAGAGAACTTTCTGAAATAGGACAGGTCAGTGGAGCAGCCTTGCATGAACCTCATTGACCTGTCCCGTTCCAGAAACTGGCATTTCTGCTCATTTCCATCTGCTTACAGATCCTCTAGCTTTCATTTGTCTGGTGGTGGGTTCCACTTGTGCAAGAGAAGCACTGGATACTGTGCCTCTTTCTCAAGGGAATAATTTATTGCCTTGAAGAGCTTGTTGCTCAAAATGAGTCAATATCTGTTTTAATAAAAGTTAGCTCTACTGCTTGGATGTGTTCACTGTTTGCAGTGGAATATGTCCCATCTACGTCTTGTTTCTGGCTCCTTTTCTCCTCACTTAGGCCTCCTACCTTCATCTGCTACTGTTTCCTACCATCCCCTACTGCTCAGGACTCCTCCAGTGCTACCACCAGCATCTTCCGTGCAACCTGCTCTCTCTTCCTTTCATAGGTCCCCAAACTGTACTGTCTGAGCTTCCCCTCCTGTCACCAGTGCTTGCTCCTTCATTCTTTAGGTTGCCTACTTTGCTTAATAAGTTTTCTGCTGCATGGTTAAATATTTGCATATTGCCATTTTTTCTGGTCAAATTGTTTCCTTACCACTAAATAATTGACACCTCTCCAAGTTAAGCTGTGTAGCTGCTTGGCAACTTAATGATTTAGAATTATATTCAATGGTGGCTGGTGATGCAAACAGCCCTTCCTATTTGTCTGTGGCTCTATGGTTCCTGGTGAGGGAACAGACATTTGAGTGAATTTGATTGAGGCGCAAGGCAAAGAGGGACCAAACCCAGCCTAGCATCTTCACCATCCTTGGACCTTTCTGAGAGTACCTCGTCTACATGGCAAATAGATTCCAGAAGCCAAAAAGAGGTACTAAAAACTAATGAGCAGTGAACATTACATAATAGATTTTCTTGCCTTTCTAGAAAATTAGTCAAGCTGGCTTACTTACAATAGTAAAATCAATACAATTGCAGCAGAATCCAGAGAAAGAGTAAAAAGGGGCAAAAGAATTAAATCACATAGCACATTAAAAGTCATAGGAAGCATGGCTTAAAATGCTCAGCAACAGCCACTTGTAACCCTGACTGAGAATAGGTAACATACAATGATAGCCTTAGAGCAGATGAACTGAAACAAATCACACTTCATGTCATTTTGACTAATTCATTCATTGTAATGGGTCTAGTCAACAAACAAATACTATCCCCCAATTGGTAGAGACTACCAATTACCCCTGAAGGGAAGTAAAAGTACACATAAGAAGACCAGATACTTCTGAATTCAATCAAGCCTGTTGATTACTACCAAGTCAATATTCCTGACTTTGAGTTTGAGTATCTGGGAAACCAACAAGCAGAAAGCCAGCATGCACTTATTCCTGCAAGAACATTGGCAGTAACTCATCTTGATCTAATCCACTGAAATGTATTTAAGTGAATGGGAACTTTGTTGTTACCAGATGCTAAAGACCTTCATTTGATCAATGCTTTTAGCGTCAACAGAATACCACGTCAACAATGGAATTCGATGCTCGGTGGTTCAAGTGTGTTCTTAGTGTATGTCTTGGCTGATTAAAAGGAAAAGTTTAATTGCTCACTAGAGTTCAGCCTTTTGGGATACTCACCACCAAAGTTAAAGGAGGATGAGCAAGCTGCTGTACTTACCCACTGTCACTGAAAAGAAATTCCAGATGTGTCATGTGAACTTCCCAGAGTGGGACACTGTAACGCTGAGCCAAGGAGAGGGCTATTTTGTACACATTTTCTTCAAGCGTTCTGGTGAAGGAGGAACAATAAAACACAGAGTAAAAAAGTGGCTTGAAAAGGTTTCTTGATGATAATAAACAGGAAAAATGTTGAAGTCAGAATTTGGCACCTCTATTCCTCCGAGCAGATTTGTATTTTACCTGTTTTCATTACTTCATGAAATAGAGAACAAAGGTGTGTGTGTGTGTGTGGGGGGGGACTCTAGTGCTAATCCAAAGGGCATTATTTATGTACTTTAAGTCAAGCATGAAAACGTCATTAGTTTGATACAGAAAAAAAAGCTGCAGGATGCACAACTAACGATAATCCAAGTCTTTCTAGAGCATAAAGGAGCAGGAACATCTTCTCCCCCAATCCACACCCATCATTCTTCTTACTGATTCCATGAAAGTAAAGGATACCAGACACCATAAAAATGCCAAGTTTGAATAAGATTCTGGACAGACAAGCCACATAGGTCATTTTTTTCTAGTGCCATACATGAATGTACCAGTCTTGTCACTAAGCATTTTGTGAACCATTCTAGTGCAAAGACAGCTCGCTGCTTAAAAGTTCAAAACTAGAATATGCTTTTGTGGAAACAGAACTCTGCATGCACATCTGACCCATCAGAGGTGGCAAGCTACAACATCTGAGGGCAAGTTCAAAGCTCCTTTAGATGCTACTGATTCTGGGATTGTACCTTGAGACAAATGTGTTGGAGGAAAACATCTGAATACACCACAGGAGGTCCTGAGCCAAGAGCTCAAGGGAAGTCAAACAACGATGTTAGCCTTCCTGTTGTATTTATGTATTTTATGCATCACACACACATTGCTTCAGGATCTAGATGGCAAGCCATCCTACAAGTTATTCTACCTCTGAGCAAAGAAAGAAGGCACCCTGCAGAAGAATATTTCTGGCTAACATGTGGAAGCCATTAACATGTAGCCTGGCCTTTAGTACATAATAGAGCCAGTTGGTCAAGGCAATTGAGAGCTGCCCTCTTACATGCATTCTGTCAACTCAGCGTTTTAATATCAGCTTATACAAGTCAAGGCAACACTAATGGAGGGAAGGAATATGGCAGCTCCATTTTATCCCTTTTATGTGACTGTTGACAGTTATCCTGAAATGAAGATTTATGTAGAAATGGGAGGCAGTGCCTTATAACATAGAAATGTTCATAGAAAAGTGAATAGAAATGTTCTAAATAAATAAATGACCCACAGGACCCTTGCAAACTTCAAGAGTGGCTCCAGTTGGCTGTCTTTTTGCAACAAAGCTGAATCAAAACAGTTAGAATTTGGGGCTGTTCAACCTGTACCAGTTCATCCAAAAGTTGTCATTCAAGCCCTCTAAAGTAAAGCATGCCACAAAAGCAACATCATTCCACTGCAAAATCCTGCATCACCAGCTGGAATCAGGTCAAACAGCCCCAGTCTAACTCTTTTGGTTCAGCTTTGTTTGCAGATAGACAGCTGACTGGAAGCATGAAGACAAGCTCCCAAGGGTCCTGCAACTAGCAACACTGTCCTCAACTCTACAATCTACATGGGACCTGTGTGACATTGGTGCATTTGAAGGGCTGCCCAGTTACCAAAGACCCCAAGATTTCAGTTTAAAGTTGCTCATGGCAGTCTGCTCAATGCAACCTGATGCATGATGAATTCATTCCCAAGATGAGTTACATGCAAACTGTCACTACAAGTTAAATGGCACAGCACAACTTTAATCTGAATTCCCTTGTGGACACTCAAATACTGGGTTAATTTGAAAGCTCTGGCATCTAATACTCCATGCTAATCAGGGAACTTACTCTCTAGGTTAATCTATTTTTCCTGTGTAGCAAAAGCCACAGAGAGACTTAAACAAACATGTATAACCAATATATTCCCATTTAGTTTCTGTTGTGATTATTTTTGGACTTTAAGTCCCTCGGGTTCTTTCTTCTTTGCAGAGTGCCATGCACACACAGTAATATTAATATGAGACAAACTGATAATGCTAACAGCTCCAGTATTAATAACACTATTAATATTAACAACATGGGCATTGTTGAAAGAATAGCTATCAGCTAGTGCGGTAAACATTTGGCACCATTCCTGTGAGTCTCTACAAACACTCAACACTGCACATGCACAGTTTGGAAAAATAAGACACAAATGTGACTGATAATTAATATGCCAGAAATGTTACAGATAAAAATAAATGTGACTGTGGGAAAAAAGGTCTGTTTACAGATATTTCAAAAATGCCAAGGGGGTCTCAAGTTCCAATGAAGTGTAAGATTAGCTGCCGGAGCACAAGATAAAAGTCTCTTCACTAATAATGTCCTGTGCATTTATTGATCCACTCAGCTGGACAAAACACTTCATCTGACTAGAATGCATGGAGAGTAAGAGAAAAATCCCATTAACAACAACCTTGCAAAGCAAGTGATGAATAATAAACCTTTCTAAAGGTCAATGCTGCTGAAAATTTACTTTCTTGGTTTGCATTTTAAATATGCCATGTTTAAATATGCCAAGCCAGCATTACTTACTCTGCCAAACCTAATATAGTTTCCCTCTTGTACTGCCCATCTGCTGTAAACCTCTGGACATCCACTCCTTTGCCGAGACCTTGAAGAATCTGAGCCTGGGTGAAGTCCAAGAGCCGCTCATTGTAGTATTGAAGATGCTTGATCAGAGTGGCTATTTCATCAGGCCACTCCGCACAGCCGGACTGGGTAACATGCTTTGTTACCATCTGAATTAATTCTCTGGGGTCAGCCTGTGGAACCAGTTCAAAACACACTGACATTCACCAAAGTCAAGGCAAACTCAATATTTATGGCTGTTCTGATGGAATTTTCAATGACTTAACAAAGCCATTTGTAAAAACAGCCAAAACGCTTACCGTGTCGCTTTGGTTCAGGCTTCAGGCTTTTCTTAGCTCTTTGAGCAATGCATTCTTCCCTTGACTGCTCTTTTCCTCCTCCAGCAAGAGTGAAAAAGCTTTCTGTAGACTTGCAGCTTTTTAGGGTACTTTATGGACAGTTTGAGTTCCCCCACCCCTCCTACTGCACTGTCCACAACATGGACCAACTTACCAGCTTGACCGTATTATGAGATGGCCAAGGGCCAACACCCATATTACCCATCACAGTCCTCAGGTCAGTTAAGCTGCAAGTACAAAGACATACTGTCTCTACTAACTGTACAGAAAGGTGTACAGCAATGCTGAAGCATACCAGACTGCTCTAAACAGGAGAGTAGCCGGTTTCTATCACTGAGACACACTACAGTGCAGCGAGAATCAGATGATTTAAATACAGGCTTCGATGAAGCAAGTGCACATGCAGAGAGGAGTTGTGTCCTGCATCTCCGCATTATTCTAGTCAAATTTCTTTCCCATCGCCCTTTGCTAGACATGTAGGACTTGGGTTCGTCTCTGCACTGAGCCTAACTGGATCACTCAGTTGCTTCCAAATCAGATCTCCCGAAGGCAGTTCTTTCAAGCACGATGAGCATGTATTACTCCAGCCTAATGCTTCAGCACTAGCAAGAAGAAACTAGTAAGCAGAAACCGTAAGATGCAACCAGCGTCTCCTTTGCACCTGGCTCAGAAATGCAGGCGGATGCTGTAGGAGGGATAGAGGCCTTTGTCTCTGTTCTGCAAGCCCCACCTTGCTAATCACATTTTTTCCTATCTTTGTAGGTGGGTAATTTATTTATTTAAAAGGATGCTTTTTACACAGGCTACAAGTAAATCCTTTTGATTATATCAGTAATGTATCTCTCTAAAGTGCAGACAAGCTACCTGAAAGCCTGGAAAACACTGTAGAATGTTAAAAGAGTAAAAAAAATTAATTACAGTTGGAGCTGCTAAACAACAAGTTAATACAACAGGGGCTAATCAAATCAAGGACACCAACACCAGACATATTTGTACTGGAAAATGTTTATCAATATTAACAAAACAAAGAGAGTTTTTTTGCTTTGCATTGCTCATTTTGATGAAAAGGAAATAGATTAAGAGATCCCCAAGGTAGCTCTTAAGAACCGAATCATAGTGAATTTGTGATCAGGTATTCCCAATTCTGATAAGAAGCAACTCAGAAACAATGTCTGGAGGTATCTTACTTTTCTCAAGGGCAGCTTATAATTTAATTGCTTTTGAAACTCAGTGTTAGACAAATGATGAAAAATGAACAGGAAGGACAAGTAAGGGAAACATAATGGTGAGCTGAAGAAAGGAAATTAATTAAAGAGCAATGCACTGTATTAGTTTCTTTGGAAACTGTATTAGTTTCTTTGGAAAAATGTGTAACATTTATAGTTTAAATAGAAATCTAAAGATCCAGCAGTAATAATCTTCAAGTGTGCAGCTGTCATTTCAGGGTAGAGTAAATATGAAGATGTACTTCTTTCCACCAATTTTTTCTTTTGATTGTGTTTTCCTAGTATTTTTAATACACATGAAAAGGCCTTTCCCAAAACATTTACAGCAATGTAGTGGAGTGTTATGCTCATTTTCCAAGCAGGACAGTAAAAATGCAGATCACAAGGGAAGAAAATATATCTCTTAGGTAGTATTTGATGAAAAGATATGTGTACTGGTGGTTCAAACTTCAAAAATATCCAAACCACTTACTCCTATTCCCATTTTCAAAATGACAATTCATGAATATTTAGCTTTCAAAGAAGTCTGGGAGATATTGGAGGACATTCACAAGAAGAAACCAGAGGGGCAATGGTTTTTAGCCTATTCTCATTAGCCTACTGAAATCAAAGTAGATTACATGGGATATACCAGACTGTGGTTTAGTTTGGCATACGGGAAAATGTGGCATTAGCAAGTATTGCATTTTCTAGAAGAATTAATTGGCAAAAACCATTTCCAAAGAACAGAGATTAAAGGATAATGAGTTCTACACTTGCAGTTAAACACACATGGAATGCACCAGGTTGGCAAAGCCCAACGATTATTATCAGCACTGGGTAGCCAGTGTTTTTCTGAAAAAGACTTCCAGAAAGTCCATATACATAGCATGGAGATCACAGCTGTCATCCACTGTTTCATCCCAGAGCTATTTCCTCTGCACCTGGAGGTAGTACAGAGCCATCATGTTACTGATAAGCTCATCTATGTAGATAGTCATCAACACATCCTCTGGGAGAGAATTCTATTCCTCAACTTCTTGTGACATGAAAGAAGTGCTCTTTTGTGTCTTTTCTGAACCTACTGACAAGAGATCTAATATTATGAGAAGAATTCTCTTTCTGTATACCATTCATTAGATTTGTGGATCCCTGTCATGACTCATTTAGTTGCCTTTTAAAAGATCACCTGAAAATACTTTTCCAAGGTACACTTGCTGGCCACTTTCCTTTCCCAGTTCTAGGGGAGCATCCTTAAAACAGGGCAGCCACAACCCTATTTAGTAGTCACATTCAGAGATAGCCTTCTTTGTCTCCAGGTCTTTGTACGGTTAATAATTCTACCTTTAGCAATGCCTCTGCCAATTTACCTGGGACAAAAATCGAGCTGACCAGTTTCTAATTTCCTGGATAGTTTGCTATGGGACTCCTTTTAAAACACCCTGAAATATTGGCTGTAATTACACTGCACAATAAAATAATGCACAGTTCATGATAATGATTGAAGAATAGAAAGAACCCTTTAAAAATCTCACTCCTCAGTGATATTAATTAAAAGAACATAATCTATTCTGGCACACATTGTGTTAAGCAGTTGTCTCTTTTATAGAATGAGATATAAAATGGCAATATGAAACTTGGCTGGAATAAGCTATATCTGCTCCTGTTGTGGGCTTAATATGCACTAAATTTATAGCATCATTTTTATACTGCATATTAATGAACAAACAAAATTCTGAAACTGACCCTGTAAAGGGGATGGCATTTGTCCTTGAAACATGGTTCCAAATGAGCATAGATCTGCAGGCTATAGTAATAACTTGCCAGCTGGAGAGATAAAGCAGAAGGAGATTGTTTTTCAAAGCACTTGTTGGCATCAACGACCTAGGAGGAAATAGGAGAGAATTAACTTAGCTATAATAACATTACAATGGCAAGCACACCACGTCTTTGGTAGCTTCTCTTGAATGTTGATATATGGATGTTGATGCCAAAGGATATACTCTGTTCAGAGCAGATGTGGACAGCGGCAGTTTTTAAAACAATGTTTAAATGTTACAGTATTTATATACTTCTTTGCCTCCAAGGAGTTCCAGAGTTTCCCATCTGACATCCACTTGTGAGCTAAGCTAGGCTGTGATACAGTGATTGGGTTCACATGTCACAAGCAAATCCCCTGGCTCTCACTGCTCAGTCACTTCCTCTGCAGACTGCAGGAGCTAGACAGTGCTGTGCCCCTGGATTGCTGACCAAGAGATCTGACCCTAGAATGGTGAGCTGCTGAGAACAAGACAACCCAGAGTTGGAACCCAGGGTTTGCTGTTGTATCTCTGCCAATAGCCCACCATTCCAGGTTTAGACATTACAGAAAACCCAGGGATGGAACATTGTTAACATTGTTAACAATATTTACTTATTTATCTGGCCAGGGCGACTTCTTTTCTTTTCTTTTCTTTTTTCTTTTCTTTTCTTTTCTAACTTCTTTTATATCGTTTATTTTTTATTCATTTTATATTATTAATTTTAATTTTAGATTGTTATTTTTGTATTGTATTTTATTGTGTTGTAAGCCGCCCCGAGGCTTTGGCAAGGGGCGGCATAGAAATGTTATAATAATAATAATAATAATAATAATAATAATAATAATAATAATAATAATAAGAAGCAGCACAGGAGGAGCAGGTGAGCACACTGTCCTGCTGCCACTTGTTCACAACTACCCAGAGCTTAAACAAACATAGGTAGCCATGAATTGGAACATAGACTTCCCAGTAAGCTTTATGGCTTGACAGGACATCAAAATCCTTGGGCACAAGTCTAGCATTCAAGCCATTAATCACCTGCCTTAAAGCTTCTCTAAAAGGGGATAAAAAGTGGCATGATTTATTCCTAATCTGCCTGTGTACTAAGTAATATCCTTTAGAAGGAGCTTACCCATCCCTACTTTACATCTCTCCATAAATGAAATCTTTAAAAATATAAGCTACCATCAGTGGTGATCCTTCCCCTGAAGGTTGGGATTTAATTTGAAAAATAAAGTAAAAATAAGCAGGAAGACTTGTGGACTGGCTTCATATCAATCATTGCCCATTTATGTCCCACGCAACAGAAACCTACTTGATATCTTCAGTTATATACTGACTTTAGTCATATGGTTTATGTCATATGAATAATCTGCTTAGGTGATTCAGAGTGATTCATAAACTACATATACAATATCAGTCACCCAAAAAGACCAGCACTCATTTCACAGGGAATGCAAAAGGTTCTGTGTAAGAATATGCATGATGATCTGTCTGTGTGAAGGTCCCGTATGCATGCATGAGGTCTAAGCTATCTTTTCAAAGCTTTAAGTGCCGAGACTTAAAGGAAGCATGGCTTCAGAGATTGTAACTACCTGCAGGTATGTCCAACTAACCTTTTCAGTACACGTGCTAGTTGCACTAGGATGACTGGTAGACTGAAAAGGCTCAAGCAAATTATGTCTAAACAGAAAGGGTTGTTTCTTTCCCCACCAACCCTCTCCAAAACAGCTGTTGATGTTTCTACAAAATATGCCAATACAGAAAATCAGCTTCCGGTTGACTTGATGATACTGAGCTCAGGTCCCAAGGGGACCTGGATTCAGACTCAAACCCAGTCAGACATTCATAAATAAATAAATAAATAAATAAATAAATAAATAAATAAATAAGCATGTCCAGCTGTAAACCTACCTGTGGTAATGCAAGTAAGTAGGCCAGTGCTAAAGTCATATCATTTGGCAAAGCTTCACTGGCCAGCTGTAAAAGGACTGCAAAACAGAAAGAGCAATAAAGAGCAAGTTTAACTCTTGACCCCTCTGCCCTTCATGCATCCTAAGTTTGGCATTTTTCTCACTCACCATATTTTATTAGATTCTAGATTTCACTGTCCTGCACACATTCAATTAAGCGCTAATCAGTGGATCACAAAAACAGATAACGTGTAATTAAACTGCAAGACTGCTGTAGCTTAAATTCCAGTCAAAGTGTTTTATGCATTAGCAAAACAAGATGAAATAGTGTCGTAGCAGATGTTAAACTGAACAGCTGAAATATCCCTCATGCTGATTTACAGCACCTAAACTTGCTGGCTATAAAACCAAAGCAACACTATAAGTTATGAACATTTAGGAAAACAGGAAGCACAATAGCATGAAATATGTTGTTTCCTACAGTCTGAACATCTGTATTTCTTATCACCTGCTTCTCATGTAACACCAGTAGATTATTAATCAACTTTTTATCATGAAGAAGAGAGCAGCAAACATCTCACCATTTTACAAGCCATTGTTATACGTGAGTATCTGGAAACCCCTCACTCCCAGCAGGTCAAAATCGTGAGCATTCCTCAACCGAGGAAAGGCACTAAGGAACACCAACCCTAGCTTCTAAGCTTTGTTGGACACAGAGAGAGCTGCCTTAAGCCAGTTCAGAGCCCTGTCCATGCAGCTTGCTGATATCTGCCCCAACTGTTGCTGGCTCTCCAGCCTTTCTGACAGGGCTCTTTTCCTGTTTTGCCTGGAGATGCTGAGAGCTGAGCAGGGGCCTTTCATGCACAGCACCTAGCCAGGCTCCTTCCCAGGGCTGGTTACATGCAGCTAGTAAATAAAATGGTTACCAAATGCCCATCAAGGTACAACTGCAGTGATTTTATTGTGGAGTGATCAGAGAAAAACAACAACAACAACTGGACATAACAGTAACATCTCATACTGTCTTTCAGCAACATCATTTTGCCATTGTTCTACCCCTGTGCTAGAGCTTGGTAGAACCCATGGCTCTTATGGAGATACTGGAAGGCTCCAGTGTTTCTGACCAGCTGCTAATCAAAAAGGCTCACAGTACAATGCACAAGGCAAAGTCTTATATGCTACCTTCACGAAATATCACTTCCTTTGATGGAAGGGCAAGAGCTCACTGAGAGAACACAAGCTCTGAACACAAAAGGTCCAGGTTAAATCCTCCAGGCAGGGCTGGAAAAATTCCTGCTTGAAACCCTAGAAAGCTGCTGTCAGTTAGCATGGACCAGGGTGTAGCTAGACAGATTAACTCTCTGACAAGAATAGTGTGCTCCATTCATTTGGTTCAACAGCTGTCTCATAATGTCCCCCATCCTTGGCAAAACTTCAAATAACACAAGGAAGTTCCAAGTCCAAGCACATGCTTGCAGCTCTGTGAAAAACAGCTCTTAAAAGGACACACACACAAATTGGGAGTGCTGGGTTTATTCGCCGCCACCCGGTCACTTTTGAGACCCAAATTCACCAAGTGGCTCTTCATTTTGTGAAGTTCAGAGTTAAACATAAGCTGAGCGTATGAATTTATTTCAAAAAGCATGTGCTCACATTCAACAGTGCAATCTTGTGTGAGTTTACTCAGAGGTAAATCCCATTGTGTTCTTTACACAATGTGTTCTTTATCCCATTACTTTTGTGATCTATTTCAGATTGCGGCCTGTGTTTCTACAGTACTTCGACTGCAGGGGAGGACCCATTGCTCAATGAAAAGTGAAGGCCCCAGAAGGCCCCAGATTCCATCCCTGGCATCTCCAATTAGGGCTAAGAAAGAATCCTGCCTAAAATCCTAAAAAGTGACAACCAGTCAGTGTTGAAAACACTGGGCTAGACAGCCCAGTCCCTTGATGTTGTATAAAGCAACTTCCTCTGCTCCTAACGATTCCATATCTAGCCTACTCCTAACATTATATGAAAGCAAACACACATCTTAGCATTGCTACAGAGAGCCTAAAATGAGGAACACAACACATTCCTGATGATCCCAGCAAAGTCAAATTCAAAGGAAAGCCCTGCTACTGACTTCAAGTGAAGGTGCACAGTCCTCCCACTTGAATTTGATGTATGTACATGGATAAATTCCTCAAATGCATTATGGAACAGCTACAATTTATGTGCTGGTTCTGTTGGTGTTGGTCCAGCAGCTCCACCGGAGCTACCTGCTCTGTGATGGGATCCCATAATTAAAGCCCACCCTTCTGGTGCAGAAGCATCAGTGCAGCAGCCCTCGTGCCTTCCAGTTCTGCTCTGGAGGGCTTGTGAACCTGCTGGAGCAGAGCTGCGATGTGCACAGGGGGCTGTCGCACACAGAAGAGGACAAGGAAACCCTGCAATGCTGGTGGCATCGCTTCTGCTGGTGGAGGGACAATGCTGGATCCCACCCAGTGTCTAATGGAATAAGTTTGCTGTTAAGAAATTGGTATAAAGAAATAATTTTAATTTCAAATCTATATTCAGAATGTGAACAGCATCCATAGCAGAAGACAAATGACATAATGACAGCTTAACTGTGTCCAAAGAGCCACCAATATTATTTTTCTTCTTTATTTCAGCAATCAAGTTTGATTTCTCCTTCCCTAAAATATTTCAAAAATTCTTAAGCTGGGAAATATATTGTTGCAGAGTTCATACCTCTGTGCGCCATTGAAGAGAAAGTCATAAGAAAAACCATTTGTTCAATAATTTTCGAATTTGTCATTAAGCTTAGGTGACACTGACCAAACTCATGCTACTCCAGCAAATATTAGCTACAGTAATTGATTCAGACATCTTTCATAAAGGCAGGTGGCCATTTGTCTGTGTGTATTGCTATACATTTTAATTGGGCATTTGGCTTACGCTCTGTTATTATTCTACTGGCAAAATACCCGTCGTTATGACATGGACTGGTGTTATTCATCCACAGCAGGTGGGGACAGCTTTACTGCACTCAGCAGATGCATCCACTCACCCCAGCGCACAAGAATAAGCAAGAATTAGGATGCCTCTCTCACTGATTTTGCCTGCCACCCTAGCAGCTTGGTGCTGCGGTAAGCCCCCCATGAGATTCCAGGTCTGGTATCCTGTGGTAAGAGACAGCCACAAGTTACAAGCCTTACAGAGCCTTTCCATACTTGGCTTTCAGACTTATTTGGACTCTTCAGAGAAAAACCTTATTAACAACAAGGTATGTGTTCTTCAAAGCGATACAATAAGATTATCTTTTGACTAGATATAAAAACACTAGGTTCTTGTCAGTCTCCTGCCCCCCCTCATCTCTTTTTCTAGTGCATGGTGGGTCAGTGACGCTGCATTCCTTCCATTTCCTTTGACAAGTCTATGGACATAGAACTGGGATTTTTCCTTATAAAACATAATGCTAGTGGTTTACAGATTATTATAGATCGGTTAACATAGTACAGCAGTTGCATGATGGAATAATTCTGTTGAGTTCATGAGGTGAAGCCTAAATGACAGGGAGGAAAACTTGTAGACCCCCAGATGTTTAGGCCTATAACACCCATCATCCCTCACCATCACCTGTGTAGACTAGGGGTGATGCAAGTTATAGGCCAAAACATCTGGAGTGCCATTAGTTGCCCACCCTGTTATATGGGCTGTAGTGATAACAAAATGACATTTTGCTATTCTAAGGCCAATGCAATATTATATTTGCAGAACATTTCGTAAAAGTCCCTATCACAGTTGTTTTTTCTGTTCTGCACATAATTAATCTCTGGATTTGCTTCTTCTTTTTTTGTGATTATCATAGATGACAGGTCACACAGTGACATTCTGCATGCCTAAAAACAGCAGTTTCCTCAAGTGCTTAGTCAATGGTGATTGATTTTCCCGGAGAACCAATGTTCTTAACACCACAAGTAACATTTATCTACATAAGATAGAGTCAGTTATAAATGAGTGGGCTTGGACAAATGTCCATATGGGTACAATTGTGTAAACAGAATTAATTAGTGTGATTTTTCTCTTTTACTAAGCATGTCTGAATAAACACCTTTCTAAAACTGATCAACAATAACTGGTGGAGTTTTTTTTAATGTCATTACAGTTCTACATTTACAAATGTATTATTTATTAGGAGTGTTTAGAAATATATCGCAAGCCTATTGCTTACCTGCTCTATTTCTTCAGAGATGCCTAGCTAGACTTGGGACTGTTATGCAATCTAGTTAATAAGTAAAGGTTTGGGGTGGGGGAAAGCAGGGGGTTCATTTATTATACTGGAATTACCATCATTTGTTATGGTAGAGCTTCCTATGGCAAATAGTGTTTCGCTAAGTCTAGATATGGAAGCATCTCAAGCTGAGATCTGCACAAGCTTCATAGCCATATGTTCTACCCTCATCCCACTCCTTGCCTCCTCGCTTCTCCCATGGCCCAAGACTGTCTGAGCAAATTAACTAGTTCCCTGGTACAACCAAACCAGGAAACTTGCTGTTACCAGGTTTGGAAGAGAAACCAACTTCAAGTCAATTATAGTGCTATTGTATCATAAATGTACATCACCCTTCCATACAGGTACAAACAAATATGCACACAGTTTACCTTCTGTGACAGGAAACCGATCCTGCCCTTCACTTCTAGTTTCTGCAAGTTTTCCTGTCCGCAGCAATACCTCTGCAAAACTTTCCGAAGGGCTGTGCTGGTATGAGGTATAAGTAACTTCATTCTGCAGAACAGAACATTTAAGTAGTATGACTATTTATAACTAAGTTTGCTGTATGTGTGCTTTTCCTATTCTTCTCCTTAATTATGGTTAGAACTGTTAGACCTGCCTAAACACCCACTAACCTCTCAGTTTGGTGTTAATCAGTCTGATTCACTGACAATCTAACTGGGATTATTATTTAACTACAATACTCAATCTTAACTTTTAGCCTCAACCACTTTTTTCTATAAAACGTTTTTGCTAGGAACTTTGAAAACTGATAATCACATCTCTAAACTTACATCTGCAAGGTATGGATTATCGATCAGAGCTTCATAAAATGGATGGCAGCCTTGCTTTTCTATTGCTGCATTTGCTCCAGCAGTCCCTTTTAATACATCTCCAAATTCTTGATCCTTTGTGAACAAAACACAGACATTAGAATTATGCCATCTTTTACATTTCATCTTACCGTAAAAGAGAGAGTATACCCATATTTCTGCATATGTGTCTACCATCCACTTCATTTCAGTAGTGATGGATAAGAATCCGAGGTACGACACTGAAGACAGAATACATGTTTGGTGGTCACATGCATCACATTTGTCTATATAGGCTTCTTGTAGAAAGCCGCTGCTGAAAATAAAGTGAGTTTACAGAAGGGCGAACCTAGGTATGTTCAGATGGAGAAGATCCTTTCTTCTCCATCCAGATATGCATAGCAGTGCATGCTAAATTAGTAAGGCTGAATGGCTGAAGAGCTAAGGAATGGGTATTCCTTACATGTAATGGCCGAAGGTAAGTTAGTGACTTCTTCCACCACTGTCGATCACTGACAGCATGCAGCACGGCTTTTGTGGTCAGAGTTGTATTGGAAAGAACCTTCATGGTTTTAGCTGTGGTCCACTGCAGTAGGTCAGCAGATTGACTGGAAGAAATGCTGGTAGCTACCTGTGAGGTTATGCAACACACAAGCCAGAAGCATTAAAAACAAGCTGCCAAACCCTGTGATTTTTCAACAGGCTTCCAAAGCACCATAATAATGGGGCCAATTTCAGGCACCACACACCTTGCAAGTATATTTTGATAAAAGGCAACATACATGTGTGCGTGCTTCATGCACAGACATTGAATTGAGCACTACAAGTATTTTTAACACTACATTTCTCATTCAAATTATACAAACATTGCAATTAATAGCCATTATACTGAACACTGCTGTAATAGTTCTGATTATGCATTAGCACTAAACGTCTAAGGAAGCAATGTATGTATTAGAAATTGGCTAACAGATCTTAGTAACTGATGAAATTATTGGAGGTTTGCTTCGATCCTAATGATTGGGAGGAAAAAGTATAACATAAAGCTACAAAGTACTCAAAGTGCAAATGTTTCATTCCCAGTTTCTTGCATTTGTTAGAGCTGGCATCAGAACTCCAAACAAGTATGGCAATAATCAATTCAACCTAAATTTTATTCAAGGGTTGGTAACAAGCATGTATTTGCCTAGACCGGACCAGACCAGACCAGACCTTCCCAGTCTCTTTGTTTTTCAGTTGGTTATGGAATTCTCTATTGCAGCCTGGATGCTGTTCTAACAAAGGACATTTGTCCTACTAAAGCATTTTCATTAGGAGGCTCAGATGAATGGGCTATTAGCTCCCAAGGAAGATGCTGACCATAAGTAATAGCATCCATAGAAGTCTGTGAAGTCCCTCTAAAGAGTCCCTGTTAACACTACCTCCACACAGGTCCAGTCAGCGAAGGACAAGATGGCATCCCCTCCCATTCTACGCATTGCACTGGCAGATAAATCAGTCTTCCACACTGATGATGGGACAATGCTCTCCAGTGAACTTGAAGGCAGTGACAAAGTAGGTGACAGAGTGGACTGCAAGGCACACACCCTGTGGCTGCCTTCCAGCACCTGCTGTCTAAGGAAATTGCCCCACCCTGCCTAGTGGTAAGGCTAGCTCTGTCTCCACACACACCCCTACTAAAATATGTGTGTCTGTTTTTTCCAAAGGACTATACAAACTGCAAACAAAGGATAAAAATCAACATAATAATTCTTACGTTTGAAACAAATGGTACTTAGGTTGATCATGACTAATTTCTCATTTCTTTAATTGAGTCTACTCTAACTAGGACTTACATTGGATTTTTACAAAAAATTACATTATGGTTGAGTTCTCACAACATGGCAACCACCCTACAAGTAAGCTGTGCAGTCTGGATTGTTCACAGAACACACAGCGTGGCCAACAGACAATCGAAATTACTATAGAATGTGCCCAGCTCCTTTCCCCCATTCCAGTCCTCCATGTCCTGGGTAGCAGAGCCTAACAATTATTCTACCTAGCAAATTTGAGCATCTTTTCCCTCTTTTCTGGGAGAGGGACAGACAGGTATCATAGATGCATATCTCCTTGCCCGCCCACAAATGCTCATATTTGTTAAGCTGAAAGAGAAGAAACTTTCTTCTGACAGCCATCATAAGAAAGCCCTTATGAAAAGGGGGTGGATGTAGATCCCACCTTTTCAGTCTATTTAGAGGCTCAGAGGAGAATGGAAAAGCTGAAGAGGATTGAGAACAGTCATAGGTATGCACTTGCGCTATTGTGCAGGACCATTTAAAAATGCATTAATTGTGCCTTTTGGTGGAATCAGGGATCGCTGCTGCGAAGTGGGGAAGAGGCTGCCACTGGTGGCAGCAGGGCTGGGATCACCAAGAGTGGCAGGAGGTTCTGCTGCTCTTGCCAAGTGGTCCACTCACCTTCTGGGATTGGTCTCCCAGGTTCAGATGACGTGGCAACCCATTGTTGGTTCAGCAACCTCTGCAAAAAGCTATGGGTTGTGAAGAGGGCTTGTTGCAAAAACCAACCAACCAACCAACCAAACCACACACACACAAACATACACAGTCTGGGATGGGATGACCCTGTGTCATGTGATCCCAATTTATGTCTAATACTGCCATGGTGCTGCTGCAGCTGGAACCATCATGAGCAGAACTGGAAATTATGGCTTCCAGAATGGTACAAGTCTCTAGAAGTTGCACAAGGCCGCAATGCAGACTTGCCTTATTCCTGAAGTGGCAGCTGCGTGTTGCTTCTTGGGCCCAAGGCCACTTTTCCATGGTGCCAGTGGGAATTCCCACTACTGTAATGGGCACAGAGCGGGCAGGCTGCCATCAGGGGATACTGCCCCTATCAGCAGCACATGATGGAGGATAATGCTATCAAGGAGCATAAGGCTATCAGTGGCTTCTAGTGATAGTGGGTCTCTATTGCCTCCAGCATCCAGCACTGTGCCGCTCAACACCAGTAGCTCAGGAATATAGGCAGGAGGTTGCTGCAGCAGTCATGTCCTGCTTGTGGGAGTCCTATTAGGGCAAAAGTATCTGTGGGAACACAGTGCTGGACCACATAGGCCTTTGGTCTGATCTAGCAAGGCTCTTAAGTTCACTAAAATGAACAGCAAGTAATCAGCCAAATGTTTCTCCAATCGACCTCTTTATATGTGGAAGAGACCAAGGCTACACAGGATCTCTCCATCCAATGGGAATGCAAGCACCGCCTCTCGCAAGCACTGTCTTCTGCAATGTGCCAGATTGGACTGAAATATCATGTGACTTGACCTCAAATAACAAACGGGGTATCATGGGGGGGGGGAGGATCAGTTCCTTTGGAAAGCACAGGAATATACCTGTTGCCAGGTGTACAAGTGTATATTGGAAGATGGATTTTGAGAAGCAAATGCCTGAATGAGATAACACATTTCAGCTAATTTTCTTTTCCTCTCCTATTTCACTAATTTGGATAAGAAAGTTACATGTTAAGTGTTAAAGAAATAATAAATGATTATGATGATTTAGAGCTCAGAAATTATAGGGTAGAAAGACATTAACTAAAATGTGCCATTATACTGATTTTTTAAAAGAAAAAACAACATTTCTATATGCAACAGAATGCCTGTGTGTGAAGCTTTCAGTTATTAATAATAGAAAAGATATAAAGAGAAGACCTCCTGCCAACCACTGAATAATCATTTGGAAATTTTAGTTCTCACTGCTCTAACTGAAGGGACTGCATGCTGAGCAAAATATGGCAGAACTTCCTCAATACTTAGAAAATAAGCAGCAAAAAGATGACATGAACTGTATTTAAGGAAAGAAAAAAGCAGAAAAATTATCTTGGAGATCATGTTATATTCATTTTTAAAGTAATGGTTGCAGAAAAATGAGGTTTCATTCCCTTGATGTTTTTGTACAGCTTGGGCAGTAGCACAAAAAAGTCATGCTGAGTCAAAACATGCTCCTTAACTGAACCCCGAATAGCAACCCTGGTGCCCTCCATTGTGCCACTGCAATTCACAGTGGCAAACAAGACTCTAAAAAAGATGATTGCAACACTCTGTAGTAGTTTGTCGCAAATGTTCCTGATTTTTTATTTGGGGAAGGGGTGGGTCATCACTAAATTGGCAGTGGTCATGGAAGCATACAAATGAACAAACCATCAATATCACAAATTCATGTTAGCAGCCCATGATGTCCACCCTTACCTTGATCAAGTTTAGCTCAACACATTTTGGGTTATATCTTTAATCAGATCTTGCTCTGTGACCACTGTCATAGCAAATCCAATGCCATTGGACAAAATGCATTGTAAGAAGGTCACTAACACCCTGCTTTTCCCAGGCTCCCTCCAATCACTAGGCTCCTTCCTTTAAGGTCCTGGAATAGCTCTTGCTCTCTTCTACATCATTTGTTGCCCTTTGCTCTTCTGTCTGCTCTGCCACTCTCCAGATAGATAGATAAACATTATTGCAGTCAAAGACCAGCTCCATTCAACCACTCTCCAGAAACAACTTAAGGTGACAGCAACTTTTTCTAGCATACACAAAACGAATTTGGACCAAAGAATGTTCTGGGTGGGTCTGTAAGGTCTGTAGGGCAGTGAGTGGTTCAATTCATTACCAGAAACACCTTCTGAATCCGAGGTTATTTGTTTTGGCCCAGGAAGGGGGATGTGAGAGAGATCCACAACTTCGTACAAGTGCAAATGTCGAAGAATCCAGTCCATGGATTCTTCGGCAGACTAGCTTCTTTGAGTCATGCAGATTCTACAGACCTTCATGTTATTTTTTTTCCTGTAATCCTATGCAAATTTAGTTTTTAGAAAAATACAGCCTCCCCCATTTTTTCAGCTGATAGGCTAAAGTGTGACCATATGCATTTTTTGTTATGTGAATTTACACATTTTTTGTTGTGTGACTTTACACATTGTGAAAATGTATATGAATGCATCTGTGCAAAATTTGATTCCATCAGTGAGCAGATTATGGAATGAAAGGTGACTGATATTCCTCAAAATGTAGACAGAACAGATTTAACAAGGTCTGCAAATGCCGCACGAAGAAGCAACAGGCACACTTTTTATATCCAAATAAAGCAGGTTCTGAATTATTCAGTGTCAATTTAATTACTTAGTACTCAGTGCAGCTCTCACATTGCAAATTTTGGGGGGTCTTGGCAAAAGGCTCCCAGTGCCTGACAATAGCAAACATAACTATTCCAGGTAGTCTCCTGTTTTAAGGTCTATTAAACAGCCATCTTTATAAGATGACAGACCAACCTTAGTAAACCCGTAAGACAATTTACCAAAAGAAGAAAAATGTCACAAGTTTATTCCCTCACCACAGCCCAACACGTTCATTTATAAGGCTGTGTGAACTGTCTCACTCACTGTTCTCTTATATTCATTACATTATAAAGAAGAAAAGCTGCCATTTTTACAAATAAAGTATTTGCAAGCAAGCATTTGTGAAAATAAAAGGAAACATGCACTCAAGGGCAGTGGCTGCATTCTGCTACTTGTAAGGGTCTTCGTGCATTAATGAGATCATGCAAAGTAATTACATCTCCATATTACGATATCCTATAAATAAAATCCTTGTTTTTACAAAAGATACAGTGGTATTGAGCAGATTAAGCCTAAAGCCAGTGCCCATTTATGTCTCATGATTTATTGTAGTTATTAGTTTTGCCATTAACGAACAACGCACCATCATATGGCAAAGCATTATGTTTTAAACTTATACTATTGGCTATAATATTCTAAATACGTTTGGCTAATCAAGAGTTTAATGGCTTATAAAGAGGCTAATTTTTATTTTTGCCAAAGTATCTCCAAATTAGATTCAGAAATTATTTCTATGGATAACCTCGGTCAAGATTAAACACAAGGAAAGAGGTATTAAAGAAAGATTCTGCCCCTTCTCTATTACTTTGAAAGTTTTCTTCAAAAGTATTCCTTTCATACACAACAGGCCACACAGCAAGCATAACATAACCCCCTTTTGCCACCTATATATGGTCCACAGATTATTTGCTTCCCATGGTTTTGAAAACACAGTTTCAGCTACTGGGTGGCTTGCCCTTCAATGCTTGGGTAAAAACTTATATCATGTTTAGATAAAAGCCTCGCCTAACCGGCATAGTCAGGTTGGGTGGCATGGAGCCTTAGGATGTGGTTCCTCTTCTCTCTCCAGAATAAAGGTATGAAAACCATTTCATTTTGGACCAAACCAAAAGTAGCTACCTGATCACTTATTTGTGAGTAATCCATGGGGACATGGAGTGTTCTGTGATCAAATGAATATTGTTAGGATCAACTAAATGGACTTGAGGTGGATTCAATATGGATAGCCAATGCTAATGTCTGTCTGATATTGATGAAGCAGCTGTAATTATGGTAAGGCAGAAGAAGATGCACCACATCAAATGTCATGGAATTTGCAACGGAAGCCTAAATGTACTCAAGCACTGGCCCTTTGCCCCTGGCCTCCTGAAATATTTATTTGGTGCCTGCCCCCCACAACTACAACCCACCTTAGAAAATCTAAAAAAGCACTTAACTGATAACTGGAAGGTCTCAGAAGATCATGAACAGTGTGACTGCTGTGGTTACAAACTGGCATACAACATAATTTGGGGAAACATGACAATCCTGTCAAGAAGGGAAGGTTTATTTTTCTGGGAAAGGGCTTAAAGAGCCCTGTTCAGTCTTTAGGATTATGTGTGTAAAACATTTCAAGGCTGCTGTGTAGGATCAAACCCTCCCAAGGCACCTTTCGAAATATACATTCAAAGTATAAATAACACAGAAAAGAAGAAGAATTCACCCACACGTTGGAGGGAAAGGTCTGAGGAAGGGAGCATTCTATAAGGCCCACATAGAGTGGGGGCCCTCAAAAATGCAGAGCAGGGCTCTAGGGCACAGCTCCCCTCCTCAGACCTTACCTCACCAGTGGGCATGGGGCTAACAGCATGGCCCTGCTGCTTAGCTCTCCCACACTGCAACTGCATGGCCCTAATGCCTGAACAGGGCTTAGGTCAGTACAAGCTGTATTTATTTATTTTATTTATTTATTAAAACATTTCTATGCCGCCCCTTGCCGAAGCCTCAGGGCGGCTCACAACACAAAATAAAATACAAAAGGCATTCCAGACTCTGAGGGAAGAGTCTCTGAAGACATTCAAAGTGAAGACAGTCTTCAGTAGCAAGGTGACTGAAAAATGCTGATAAGAAAGCCAAAAAGGAGAAACTGAAAAATGGGAGAAGAATGCTCTGGGAAAAAGGGCAGAGAGAAGGAAGAAGCCACTGAATAATTAGGAACCTTCTTTCCATCTGAGGACCAGTGACCAACCTAACTATAAATATGAAATGCAAGCAGACATAGTTCGGTGTTCTAACCCCCATCCTTCCCAATACAGACACTTACTTCTACAGGAGTCTCTATTTTGATTCCATCTGGTGATCTGGAGGTATTTATGTTCTCCCCCTTTTCAGAAGGCCGTATCTGGTAGTTGACTGCTTGGTAAAGAATCTAAAGAGGAAGGAACAATATATCTCTTAAATTATCCATTTTGTTCAATCTATAAAATGTATAAGCCACTCGTATTTAGCAATTATTTGAATTCAACCAGCCCCATCTCAGGTGTGATGTTTTTGCTTTTCAAACCAAAAGAAATAAACAAAGCAGCATCTATGCATTTATCTAGGTATAAACAGACATCTAGGACAGACCATGCCAAACAGATGGTAGGTCAGAGACCGTGCAGTCCTTACAAAAAAAAACAAATAAGTTGAAAGAAGCTGGGGATGGGGAACCTTGTGAAATTCATTCCGTGCCTATCAAGGGAATAAAGGCAAAGTGTGAAATTCATGCAGAAGGTAAGAACAGAACAAGCCAAACACCAGGAAGGATTATAATGGATTATACAGATGGAAACACATCACTATCACTGATAGCAAGCAACTCAGTTTCAGAAATACAGACAGGTACAGCATCTCAACTAGGCAAAACAGAATTAAAACTGCATGATGCTAAGGCCTATCCCAGCAACCAGTTCTTGCATTTTTGTTGGACAGGGACTGTTTGTCTTGGGGTCACTGCACTGGTCAGCACTCAAACCACAATATGGTATTGCCAGGAAAACAGATTCTCCTTATTTGACCAGAGGCTACTAATTGTATTATACTAATACAATTGGACTATACTAATACAATGGGGGATGCTGAAAGTTCTAGGGCTTTTCCTCCTGCCTAAACATACACAGGATTGAGCCTTAACAGATTTAAGGTAATACTGAAAAGAATAATTATGATGAATTAATATTTATTAGAAAAACGTTATGACTCATTTCTGAAATGCAATGCTTACGCAAGCAACAGGTTAAAGAACACATGATCAAGTGGGCTCAAAATATAGGTTAAAATATCCCAGAGGAAATTTGTAGAAATGTTTGGAGGAGAATTCATCTTTTTCCCTCAAAAGCAACATTGTTAAATCACTAGCAAACTGATGTGATATTGTTTTAACACCAGACTTCGTAAAATTGCTAAAAACAACTCCCTTTTTTGGAAGTAAAAGGAGAAAACAGGAGGCTTATCCATGGTATAAGTGTTTTTTAATTAAAAAAAACCCTAAAAGTGATAAATAGACATTAATAAATTAATTTTTTTTGTCTTTTGAGTTTTATTAGTAAATTAGTGAGGAATTTGTATTTATATATTTGCTGCTGCTAGGATATTACATGGTAAGCACTGAGATCACCAAAGTTTTCTTGTCTGATAGACTGTTATGAGAAAATGTCAGACCTAGCAGTGATGGTTTAATTAATTCGCCATATTAGGAAAAAAGAGAACAGAGAAGGGTGGAATACCTTCACAGAAAGCTGAAAATGTACTGATGATCATTAGCAAAAATAAATTAATTTATCCTAATAGCAACTATTTTTAATTCAGGACTCTTGCTTAAAGGAATATATTAATGAACTCTGGCACTGTACTTTTTATTTTCCATTTCATTGTAGTATTTTTGTTTTCCTGAAGCTATTTTTGTGAGATCCTTTGGAATAAGGTGTGAATTCTGCAGATTCTATACAAGAAAATGAATTGGTGTTATGCTGATTTTAATTTTAGAAAAAAAGGAACTTTGTTCAAGGAGAAAAACAAAACTGCATATAAAGTTATGGCTGAACATTACTAGTAAGGCATTCTGATTAAAGCAATATTTCAGTGGAACAGGGATGTGGCCATACAGGCAGTCCCCAGGTTACAAATTAATTCCATTCCTGAGAAAATGGAAATCTGCCTTCAAGTCAAATTTGTATGCAAGTTGGATCACATATAGTCACCCTTCCACATTTGCAGGGGTTAGGGATGCAAGACCCCCTTGAAAGTGGAAAAACCACAGATATCCCTAGCTCCTCCTGCCAAACGAACTCAGTGCCTCCCCTTACAACAAGGAAATGCCAGAGAGATTTCCCTCTACCAATGGATGGGGCAGGAAGGCATGCTTTGGAGGCCTCCCCCTCTACCCTTTCATTTCCTCTCTCTCTATGGTGATGCTTTGGAGGACTCCCTCTTTCCCCTTTTGCTTCCTCTTTCTATGGTAATGAAGATTTCCTGCAGTATTTTTTTTAAATAATAGCTTGAATGGCAGTTCATTCATAAGTGCAGGTTGTTTGTAAGTTGAATATCTGCACCTTGGGGACTACACGGAGGCCAGTCAGATGTTAATGTCTGTCTGTCTGTCTGTCAAACATGTTCAGAAATGTAGACATACCTCAGTTTGCAGAGTGCTGCTTGCTGCCAGCAGAGGTTCTATCACACTTGGTGGACAATGTGTCAGAGCGTAGGCTATGAGCTCCTGCCGAACGGCCATGTCCTGATAACCCTCCGATTGTCCTAACTGGCTGCAAACTTCCCAGCTCTTAGAGTAGCCTAGCAGGGATGTCACAAAAGTGATTACAACACTGAAATTAAGGGAACTGAACTTAACAACAGATATTATGAAGTAGCGCTCATCTTCAGCTCTCAAGTCATCAATGGCTTGTTCTCCTCCTGTAACAGCCACAATAGATCTGTACCCCAAGAATGTATTTTAAAAAGCTCTAAAACCTGACCAAATTCATGTATAAATGGCACTCAGAGACCATCTTGTCCTTTCCTCTTTCTATATTATAACTATCATATGCCAGGTATTCCTCATTATATCACTCAGTATCTCCATCATCCTACAGTACTAATGCCCTTTTCTGGCTGCCCCACTTTAATCTTTAGTAAAAAGAAGTTTTGCAGCTCTTGATTTAAAAAAAAACTCTCTGCTTCAGTTACTGCAACAGAAAATCTGATTTGCCAGATCAGAAAAAAATCATCTACCATTCCTAGAATGCTCACAATTTCAGATTTTATGTTTTTTGGGCCAACACTGCAGAGAATAAGAGAGGATAAAATATTTGCCACTGTATGCTGTGCAAGGAAATTCATGAGATCATTTGTTGTTGGGATGAGGAATGAATCCTACCTGAAGCCATAAGCTCTTGGCAATGCATATTTGCTGCTTTGTAATCCTCAAACTGGAGAGCTTGTTCCACTAAAAGAATCAAAACTTGTCCTTTTCTTTCTATCTGGTCATCACCTACAAAGTAAGAGATATATCTAAATTGTTAGAAAATCAAAGCACGTAGTTAGAGAAGTAACAAAGAATGCAATGGATAGACCCACAATTAAACCGCAACAAACAGGAAGGAAGGTGCACCTCTCTGTATGTACATGGTCTCCTGATGACATCAAATTGACATGCTTAATCATTCATCTTCACTCCTCCAAAGCCACATTTGAGCAAGCATTTTACTGTGGGGACTTTGTGGCTAGTGGATTAAAGTCTGACCTCAACTTTTACTTTTCCATGGATCTACCAAAAGCTGCCAAGACTATTTAGCTCCTGCATCTCTGCAGGAGATGTAAAGGATGTGAAGACTGTGTCCTCATAAAATGGGTCAGCTCAGCATAAGTGACTAACAGATGATAGCCTTCCGTCTTCCTAGTTCCCTCCAGATGTTTTGCATGACAACTGCCAGCCTTTCTGACACTGGCCATGCTGGCTGGGGCCGATAAAGTTCATACACCATCTGGATGGTCCCAGATTGGGGAAGACCAAATTATACTTTCTTAACCCCTTTAGCCAAAATCCAAGGTGGCGTATACGTGCATATTAAGGATCATTTGCACAGCAAAACAGTTTATTCAAAGTTTCTATCACAGCAGTTTGTGCTCCTGAGAAGATACAGGGTTTTTTTTTCATTAATTTTCAAGATGCAACCACACCTTGCTGCTCCAAGAAGCACATTAGAGATTACTGAATATATATAAACTAAAATTAAAGAAGAAATCATGAAATTATAATAACTGTCTTAAAACAGACCACCTTCATGATACGATGAAAATAAGGCACATGCCATCTCATGGCTGGGTTGACCTACAGTTCAACTTCACCTCAACTGCCTGCCTCTTCAATAGAACCTTTCAGAAGTGGCTAAGAAACATTTACATTCTAGACCAAAGGATATCTTTAAATTAAGGACCATTCATTTTAAAGATAGCTACTTTCATAGCTCTGTTCAGGGCTTCGAGCAGATACACTTGAAATGAAATATATGCACTCACCAGGTAAAGAGATTCTAAATTGTTCCTTACCGATTAAAAAACCCAGACTGAGAGAGAAATCTCTCCATTGCAGTAGTAAAACTGAAGGAACCATAATGCAATCAGAGTGCTTAATCTAATTAGTTGCATTGTTCCTCAGGTATCTGCTATGGTGGAGGACAGCATTTCTTTTGAAAGGAATGTGGACATATTGGCATGTGGGAGAAACTGGTGTTTTTCTTAGCAGAACCTGAGTAGTTTCTCAAGATAATTTAGCATGCAGATGCACAAACGCACACACACATACGCCCAAATGTGTTGGAACAGTGGGAGCTCTCTCTTTCTTCTGCTGCTCAAGTACCAGAAATGCCAGAATTACTCTGTCATTGTCTCCATCCTTCCTGCATTCTCTTCCCCTTTCTACCTTTGTTATATGGATGCCTCACTGATACACGAAAGGGTAACTGTTGACTCCAGAGCTCCCACAGTTCACAGCTGGAGCATTTTTTCTTGCGCTTCTGTAGGTTTAATAATGGAGACACTTCAAGTCGTACCCCCTCATAGATTTCAAGCATCACCTTTTATTCTTCCAATCATACAATTGCTGACAGTATCTCAGTTCCCACCTTGAGAAGCAAAAACTTAAAGATTATGAAAGTGAAAATGATTTCTAATGATAGTTTTGTGCTTCTAGTGCCTGACAGATGGAATTTAAGACGTTAAGCTTTCAGATAAAAGGGTATATAGAATATGTGCCTTAATAATATAACCATTTCCTTCTCTTTCAATGATTGCTACTGCTGGTTAAACACAGATCTGCTGCCATGTCAAAGGTGTAGCGTACCATTCAAAACTGCAAATCCTGCCTGGTCCGCTGCTCAAAGAACACTGCATGAACCCACTGCAAAAGAGATTCAAAGCTGGGCACAAGGGCATTAATACGCTGGCAGGCACTTGAAGCTGTGGGGCTGTAGGGTTGCTCTAAGTGCCCTTACCTATGAATACTGGGGCTATCACCCAACCTTAAAAATATTTTTAGGTCTGGCAAGGGCCAGCACCACTGTGCACTTGCCACAGGATGGCCTACTGGCACAGGAACAGCCACTGCCCCAGCTGGCAGCCACCTCATTATCCCACTGGCTTGCTGACCCAGTAGTGGCAGCACCCCTTCGGCTATATCACATGGCGATTTTTCTACCTCCAGGTCTGCTGCTGCTGCTGCTGCTACAGCAGTGACATCTAACTGGTAAGAAAAATGAAACCAAGCACATGCACAAAGCTTTTTTGGCCTGAAGGCCTGGGGGGAGGAGGGAATTGTGGAGACATTTGAAAAAAGAAAAACCTAAAAATTCCTATGTCTCCCTATGAAAACCTGTTCATTGTGCTATTTTCCCAACAGAAAAAAGGGAAATGCTGAGAAACACAAAGTCAATACCACACATTGGCTAACCGTTTGCACATAGAAAATGACAGGTGCAATCCTGCAGAGACTTTCACAAGAGGAAATTCCATGAAACAGAGAGGATCTTAACATGCATATGATTGTATTGTAAATTCCATAAATATGTCCATTAGAGCTTCATATCCTTTATTTTAAAAGTTATCATTTTGTGTATATTTTAACCTGTTTAGTATGTGGTTTTAAATTTTGTATTATAAACTTTAATGATATTTTAATACATTATAATATATATAATGTATCCTTTATTCATTTTTTAAAGTAGTTTGTGAATCACCCAGAGAGCTTTGGCTGTTGGGTGGCACAGAAGTTTTACAACAAAATATAAGTTGTAAGTGATGCATTTTATATTGCTGACACTGTAAAATAAGATTATGTCTAACAGAAGAGTAAATTCTGTACATATTTCAATTCTTCACAATTCTCCCCTGCCTTGAAAAAAGGAAGTTTCTCCCATACATATAAATTTTCTGCAAACTTTACATTGGAGCTGAGGGGAAGGCTATGCTGCAGGGCAGCCGGAACAAACCTCTGCTGCCCATCTGTTCCTGCAAGAGACATGATCTACTAATTTATTTACAAGACTTCTATATTATTCTACATCCTATTAAAAATCTGAGCATTGGGCAATAAAAAAGGGAGCAAACAATCATAATATAGATTAAAAACCTTTAACATCAGAGTGCAGCAATTTAACTTTTGACAGGTTAGTCAAGAAAGTCCTGTTTAGGTAAAACTGATTTCGGCAGGCAAATGGAAGCGGTGAGCCCTGGGCCTCCAATGACTTATTCTGTGGGTCAACGGCCCTCCATAAGGGGGGGAAGCATTCTCATTCTGATGAACCTCACCACTGCCCCATGTAGGTTCATCAATAATGTCTAATCTAAATTATTGGCTGGGAGGAAAAAACAAGACTGCCAGCAATGAGAATTTACAAGACAGCACATGCGGTGGTCTTGACAGTCAGGATGTGGGAAAGCAGTGGATCCCTTGAGCAGGATTTCTTCTGAACTACACAGAAACTATCTTCTGGACATCTCATCTAACAAACTCTGAATCAACAGATGATAACATGTAAAGACAATAGTGTTTAAAGTATAAGCAAATCTCCATGCAGCAGAGTGACACATTTGTTCACTGGATGGACGACTCTTGTAGGTAGCAGAACGAGAGCATAAAACATGGCCAGCAATGCCCCAGTAGAACATCTCCCCCCTATGTCTATAATCCCTTAGACAGAGAACTATGTTTGAGGTAGAGATCCCTGAACTGAGCCCATCTAAAGACCTGGAATCTGGAAGTATAGAAGCTAAAAAAGAAGCCCCCGTTCGTTGATTTTGTTGTCTGCAATATGGCCTTACCAGCTAGTTAAGATGAGGGGCTAGCTCAACAGTCAAGATTATTCCATACTACAACCACTGGAGAACAACAGGAGACAAAGGACACATCCCTATGGCCACCCACTGTTGTCTGCAAATTTCTCCTGCCGTGACTCACATCATGTGGTTGCCACGCCTTGCACCAAGTCCATGCAACCAGGGTGGAGGCCACCCTGTTCCACTTATGGCATAGCTGCTCTTCTGGAGGTGACTGCAACTGAATTGCTCCAATATTATTGTAACCTAGGAGAAGGGGGGAAATCTCGAGCAAGAAAATATGGCTGCTGGAGTCCTAGCCAAAGTTAGCATCCACACAGAAGGAGTGCTTTGTTGGAGAAGAAGTATGTGTGTGTGTGAGTATTGTGTCAAACAATAATAATAGCCATTACCAACTAAGACCCCAGACAGACAGATCTACTCCGCAAAGGTTCATCTCTTTACTCAGGACATAACAAATTCTCTTCACATTCTGTGAAGAAAATCACTTTTAATCACTAATTCCGGAGATAGCTGAATTGCTAAACTAATGCTATTCCCATGAACGTCACTGTCATTTTGAAGTAAAAATTAACTAGAAAAGATGTCTAAAATTAATGACTCAAACAGCAATTCCTGCAGCTTGCAGCGGCCCTGAAAAACATTCGTGCCAAGCTTTTCAATATTATAAAAGCAGTAAAGCAACAGTAATTAAGAGTTGCTACTGCAGATTGCTTAGTCAAAAAGGGACAACATACACAAATAGTGCCAAATACCACAAACCTTGGAGGCTAGCACAAAAAAAAAAAAAGAAAAATCATTTACTGTCTATTACAGAATCAGTCCATCAAAATATGTTTTAAGGAAAACAGTCCTTTCTTTTATGGCTACAGAGAAAGGAACAAAGCTTAGCATATATTAGCATGTTCTTAAGATTAGTTCTCACCAGGAAGTTCTTCTACCTGGACTCAATCACTTGAACTATAGGTGAGAATTTACATGACTAAATGCCAGCAGATTAAAACAAACAACATTTGTACATATAAGGAGCCAAGATGTAAGAGCATCTTCTCTGGTGTTACTTGTTAATATTGCTAACCCTGATTAAAACAGACACTCTAGAGGAAATAAGACCATGTTGATGATTTGGATTTTTTAGGCTTTAAATTCTGCTTAAAAGGTACTGATACACACCAGTCATAAGCAACAGCAAGCGCTGTAGGGAGGATTTGCAAGTACATATACAATCCCATGGCCTAGTCCCTAAACCCTGGTTTCAGGATCTATTTGCTCATCAATTTGCTCTTCTTAAAATTAAGCAAAAAGACTTTAAATCTTTGTGCCATTAGAGACATGATTAACACAACTTTAAACAAAATGCAGGAAAAATTCAGATTAAAAATGAATTAAATATTTGAGTCAGTAGATTAAACAAAGATAGGGCATTATGAGACAGGGCATTATGAGATCCTTTAAAAATAAAATTACCTTCTAATATTTTCCTTAATCCAAAGCACAGAAATAAAATGATACACATGCTGTTGCTATAAAGATAAGATTATCATTCATGCTTCTATAATACCTCTAGACTTGGTTATGACAAATGTGAATACTGTAAACTTTCCAGAAGCTTTGGTTCATTTAAAATGAGATGGCTCTTTTTCCTGCTTCTAGGGAGCTTATTTTGCAAAAAGAAAGCATCTGCTGAACTTCCTGTTGCCCTTTGAACATAATTAAAGGGCACATCTTTCCATCTCTTGTAACTCTTATACCATGACCCTACATATGCCTACTCCACAGCAGACTGTGAAAAGTGCCGTGTTCTGACCACATCATTTCAGCAAATGGTGGCCTGCTTCCCTCACCCCCAAGAGAAATCACAACACCGCATCACAACAGGGCTTTATTCAGGGGCAGCACTGCAGGAACAATCTTGTCCTGGATCCATTTGGAGAAGTGTGTCCATTTGGAGAAGGAAAACTTCTTCATCACATCTACGCAGACCCTCCCTCAAATATGACTCTGACTTGCTCCATTTGGTCCCTTTCAAATTCAGTGAAAAACATTTTAAACAAGATATAATCATATGGCTTCTTGTTAAAAAAAGAAGACACTACTCTTAATTTCAGAATGGGAGCAAGTTACGATTCACATAAGAAGCGCCTAATTTTCATGAGCTGTTCTATGTTTTAATTTCAGGTTTGAACATATTCAGTGTCCTTTAATTTTAAAGCAGAAGAATTTTTATATTCTTTTATATTTACCTAAGGCATGCTGCTTGAAATTAACAATGCAGTGTGACCTCATGTACCTTGTGTGGGTGGTAGCAAGGAATACAAAATAGCAGCTAAATAAATAGGCTTCATTTTTTAACGGTTCCCTCTCAGGGATGTTTAGGATTGGCTAGGATGAACAAGGGTAACAAAGTGAAACAGGGCTTCTGAGAATGGAGAGCCACTGTACTGAAATTTCTCTTCATGCCAGAAGTGAACAGAATTATTCACTGCTGTGATAAACATAATGACAAAACATGAGATTATTCTTCTTTATATAATGAGATCTGTAGGACTGATGTATTACATCTATAAGGATGTGGGCTTACAGGCAAGTACACAATGACTAGAATAAGCAACATGGTAGGTACTGTCTAAAGTAATGGATGTTTTGGCACAGAATTCAGCCAGCATCCCAAAACAACAGCCAGCTCCATTTGAACTGAACATACTCCATGCAGTTCTTTAAGCACAGTTTTTTCAGGACATCCGTAACCCCACCCCAGATGCCTGCTCTGGATGTCCCTGTTCCCCTGGAGTTTGAGCATGCAAGACACCACAGGCATCTCCTCCGAACAGCAGGTGCAGCACTTCCCCTGCACAAAAGCGAGAAGCCCTCCACCCTTTGGACTCACCACTCCACTTGCCATCCATCCACTTTCGGGAACAGAATTCTCCATTCTTTTCTTGAACCACATTTATGAAGAAAGATCTCTTTGCCTTGTATACCCAAGAGGAAGTATTTTCCCTTGTCAAAGCAATGAGTGAACTCGGGGGCGGGCTTCCATACACAACACACTGACATTAGTGAACTTTCTTAGCTCCGAGTTTGGTCCCTTGCAGGGAGCTATGCATTACGCCTGGGTTGGCAGTGCTGTTTTGAATGGATACCATACTGTGACCTCCAAACGTCCCCTAAATCTTTTGTCCCTGTTAATTAACCCACAAATTGCTGGTACACAAGCCGTGCCTGAGCCACTTTTTGTCTCCATAAGTAGTTCTTGAATGATGCATTTGCCTGAAACTGGGCACCTATTTTTGGTGGATTAAGCCACCCTAGGTTAACCAAAGAACAAGTCAAATAACTTGGGGTCATTTAATCCTTGAACCTGCTGTTCTCAGGTTCAGTGTGACAGAAACAACCCCAGAATGTGGTATTTGAGGGGTGTTGATGCAAACAAGGAGGTGCTCATGTGCATTCTCATGTCAGTTATTTAACCCACATGGTCAACATACCCCCCCGCCACAATGATGTTTATTACGGATAACTAATTGACAAAACTAAATGTATTTGCCTGACATTTATTCTGCTGGAGGCAGGGCTGTGTACGATATCCAAACTAAAAGAAATGTGTTTGTATTTCATGCAGAAGAGAACAGTACAACGTGGTTACATATCAAGCTTCCCTGAGTACAATAGGCTCTTTGAGTAAGTCCTTGAATAACTCCCCCATAATGTCCCCAATATGAAGTATGAGCATTTTCTCTCACAGTTTTATTTTACCTGCAACCTTCAGCAGATTTGCAAGTCCCAAGAGCTTGGCAGATTGCTTGTAGTTTGTAGGCTGCTGCAAGAGGCATTCCTTGATAAGGCTGAGTCGATCAGAACATAGCCGCACTGGTGAGAAAATATGAGATGTTAAGCAGCAGTGCCACAAAAGACAACGGATTTTGGATTAAGGCAGGCATCCATCAGGTAAGTGCACACACAGGGAATATATACAGACATTTGTAGATGGGAATGGGACAACTGGGTTTACTAGGCCCTCTTAATAGAGGATAACTGAATGAATAGAATAGAATCATACTGTTGGAAGGGGCCTGGAAGGCCATTGGGTCCAACCCCCTTCTAAGTGTTGGACTCAAGTCTCCCATCCAAATACTAACCAGGCCTCAACCTACTTTGCTTCCAAGAATAGTCAGGATCAGGCACTTATGGATCAGGCTATATGGAAGCTGCAGAATAGAGTGCATTAACCCATCAGAAAAGAGTGTTGTTAATTTAAAACATTACATGGGTTTGTTTTTCATTGTGTAGTTGACATAAGAAATCTTGTAGATGTGTTTTTTTCTGGTTGGAAGAGAAAATTCACCAGTGAAGTAACAAAGGTTATTATTTCATTTAACTATTGGGAAATTTCAATAATGTGAACATTCACAGTCTGTGATAAAGCAGGCCAGACACAAGCTGCCACCTCTGTTTTTGGCAAATCAAAGAGTAGCTTGCTTAAATTTTACTTTTCTGAACTAAAGGGCACTGATCACAAAATTAAAATGAATCTGAGAAGAATGTATTTTGGAAACTTCTGCATAGTGCAATTTCATAACTTAAAGTCAACTCCCCAAGATAAGACACTTTGACTTAGAAAATTCTCTTTTCTTATTCTGTGTTGACATTACATTATGAGTTGGTAGACAATGTTTGTCTCCTTTTAACTTTTGCACAATATTTTTAAAGTGGCACAAAAATAATAGAAGCAATTATTTGCATCCACTTCAATTGCTGCTATGGTTATGCACTTGCGAGCTCATGAATAACAAGGGTACTTTTAAGGGAAAAGAAATGGCAACATTAGTCATTTTCAGATGAGAGAAGGATTATAAAATAGCCAAGGCTGGATTTTAATATCACAGGGAAAAAATAGACAAATCTGGAGAGCAGTACCTGTATTAAAGTTTGAATAGTTTATGGCAAAGGCAAAATGTCAGATGGCCATGTATGAACTATAACCTTAATAGTCACTCTCTGTGTGACTGAAGAGGGAGAGCTAAAAGGAGTTTGTCTGTGGAGCTCTGTGGGTAGAAGAGAAACACAGAATTCTATGAGAACCTCCACAGGAGGAAACCAAGGTGTTTTACAGATGTTGATGCAAGGAAAATAGCTGAAATGTTCCTGAATTAGCTGCTTGCGTGCTTATTGTGTACTATTGGAAGATGTTTTCCACTTCCTTTTGGACATCAATAAGCCCAGAAAATGCATAAGCCAGCCAGATCCCAGAAAGCACTGAGTGAAGCATCAAGAGGGATTAAGCAGAGTCTGGCAGCAGAAGTTAGTGCAGGAGATTAAGAAGGAGATCCCTAACAAAATTTTCCCATAAGATAAACGGACACTGTGTACTTAGAAGTGTCCACCTCTAAGCAGCTACAGGAGTAAGAAGAAGCGAGAGCCACTTCACTGTTCATGAAGAGGGAAGGTAAAACAGACAGATGCAATTCAGTCATAGAGAGTTGCTAAATATGAAGTTTTTGTCTCTTGCTGTTAGAGCAAGCTGCTTGTCTTACCCGAAGAAAAGGTAAGAAGTCTGGTATAAGAGAGGAAGAGTTGTTGGACGCATGTAGGAGGTGCTGCAAGGAAAACTGCGGGGGGAGGGTCACTCAGAAAGAGCAACAGGTTGCATGAAAGGTGGAACAGTCTGTTGATCAGGGAAGAAGCAATTCAGAGGATGCTCTGAGCCACTGGAACTAAGAAACTGCCTGAAGCAAGTGGCTCTAAACCTTCAAGAGAAAGTCTACAGCAGAACATGCAGGACAGGAAGCAATGTGCTGGAGGTCCACAGAAGAGATGGAATGGGGAGGTAGTGTGGTCAGCCCTGCTGTGAGGAATAGAAGGGGAAGTGTGGCAGCCTCTGACTGGACATACTTCAGCCAGAGGTATGTTGCCTCTCAGGAGCCCAAATTGGAGAAGTGGCAGTATGGCTGCGAAAACTCAAGTATTCAGGCAGCAACCTGATGGCCATCTGTCAGGTACGCCTTCAACTGGACTGAGCAGGGGTTTGTGCTCAATGGCCTAAATGTCCCTTTCCAACTCACGAGTCCAACGTATAAGAAGCTGCTTTGTTCACTATTTCAGTATTTCAATTAAAATTCTTCTGAGTACACCATTAAGGTTGACTCCCAGTAGCACTTAATGAGTAACCACTTAGGACTGCAGCTGTCTGGGATCCACAACGACAGTCTGCATGCTGACATGGCACAGGCTTCTGCTATGGTTAGTTCAAGGAGAGGAAGAGGTTGCCAAGACCAAAGTCCCCTTGAAATCAGGGAACTAATTTCAACATTCTAGAGTCTTAATACATGATAACCCTGTATCTCATATTATTAATACATGTTGATTCACTGAAGATTTAATGTTACCGTTTTCACCATATGGGGATAATTTCTTACTCTTACTTTGTGTCTTTTGCCTTACCATAATCACTTCACTTGAAGAAAGTAGATCTCCAGCTGTTCCAGCATTCCTAACCATCAGACATGCTGGCAGGGGCTTCTGGGAGCTGAATACCAAACCACCTGAATTTCTACCTTAATTTCACTCTTGGCTTACATCTCTAAAAGGCAAATTAGCCAAAATTGTGACTGCTTTTCAGCTCAGATGAAGGCACAACCATAAGAGCCAAGAAGGAAGACAAGACATCTATCATGCAATGGAGATGAGACTAAACATATTCACTGATTCTGCATTTTTCTCATTTTAGTCAGTAATATCCTAGAGCGGAACTGTTCTGCTAATGATTATCTTCCAACATGCAACTGTATTACTGAAAGAATGAAATCCCTAAAACATAGTCAGAGCTAATAGGCCAACCTTACCCCAACCAGGACCAACCTAATGTGTTGGTCTACAGTGCCTATTAGCCCCAGGCAGAAAGGCCAATTGTCAAGGATGCTAGCAGAAGTAATGCAAAACTTCAAGGATACCAGTTTGGAGAAGGCTTGAGTGGGTTAATATTTAAGTCTAATGTAAGGACAATCCATTTAAGAACCACTGGAGGTACAATGTGCAGCACTTGAATCCAAGGCCTGAATATAACTTCCATATTCTGAAAATTATTCAAGCCATGTTTCAAAGAGAGTCTTAAAAATGCAATGGCTTTATAAACTCATAATTGCATTTGTTTTAAAAGTGTATTATTCATCTAGTTGCTAGCAGCTCAAAGCCATTAAAACAAGCATGCAGACAGGAAAGTCACAGGAATTGAATGCAAAATTGTTCCAGTAAAAAAATGTCATTCGTAAGTCTATTATGTTTTTCAAAATAAACATAGAGTTTTATTGGGCAGTAAAGCATGGAAATAAAAAAGAATCAGTAAAAACACGCCATATGAATTCAGATTCTGGTGATACCTTCAAATGGCAGTAAGTGCCTTTGTCAAATATAAATAAATTGCTAGTGCAAAGACATGATGGATAGCATGCCTCTTGCGGACTGCATTAACTATTCTAATTCTCTTAGACCCATCATGGGAGTTTGGTGAAGAAAGTGTGGTGGGGAGGAAGGTAAGACTCATTTGTCCACTCCCTAGAAATGGTCCATGAGCTGCCTTACAAGACTCTTGTCAAGATGAAGAAAATTAGTGTTGCAAAACACGTGAAACACTGAGCTCACACTTGTGGCTTCAGCACTGTTCTCAAATCATCCAGGGCTTAGTCATGCCTTGTGATTCTTTCCTTGCAAGTTTCTGCAATTCATTCTGCTTCCATTTCAAGAGCTTCACATTCTTTTGTTGAACTACTTCATTGTTTTGTTTGCTTAGAGACACCTGTTTGCCTGATATACTGTTAAGCTTTATCTACAGTAGAAAACCCAAAGACAGAATCCAGCTTTTCAGATGAAGAAGAGAGAAATTCTTGGGGGCTGCATTCCAAGTTCAGAATTCAACTACTGAGCCATCAACTTCAGAGAAACGCCTTGAGGCTACATTCCAGGGAAGGGAAGAGCTGAAGGTAAAGGAAACAGACACGATGGCAAAAGAAGATAGGTTCAAATGCCAGCATCCCATAACTTAAAGCTCTTACTGCCAGTAACTAAGCCTTAGGAAAGGCATTTCCACCTTTCAGAACTGGAGTAAAATTGCACAAAAGGTTAGAAACTGCCAAATGATTAGTGATTAGGAGAATGGGGTGCGGCCTTCTGGGGACTCTCAGAGAGCCAGATTGGGACCCCAGGAGGGGCAGATTTGCCCCTTAGACTGAGGTCCCTCACCTGTGCTTTATATTACAGAATGCCTTGAGTCCAACACTTTACCAGTGATACCATAAGAATAGCAAAACAATTTTCTGAGAAAATTCAGAGTGGAGACTGGGGATTCTTACTGTTGCAAATAGCTTCAATCCATACAGTCCCTTATACTTCTTGCTGCTGTTACATTGAGTGGTGCTAATGGGACCGGATATAATGACATCACTTAATGTTTATGAATGTATGAAATTGTAATTCTTCAGGACAAAAATGCCACTGAATACTTTCACAGAAAACCCATCACCATACCTTGTAATGGCAAGATTTTTACACTGAATTCTTCAAGGTAGCTCAGAGCACGAATGAGATCCAATTCCTCTTGTATAACAGATGGACAATCTGTAATGAGCTGTAAGCAGGACCTTGAAAGAAAAAAAGTTTCAGGATTTCAAACAGTTCTTTCTGAGTTAAAGGGAAGCATTTCCATGATATAAACTGGTGTGATATTGACTGAATTTGGCCACAGCATGAAACTATGGTTTAGTATTATGTGCTGAATTCCCACATTTATTCTCTTCCCTTGTCACCAGGTGCCTGTTGTGAACAGCTTGGAAGAATCAGTTTCTGTTCTCAGTTAAGATGTGTGTCCTACAACTGTGGCTAATCTCAGCTATGGTTTATGGCAGCCTTTTCAAATCTGGTGTCCTGAAGATATTTTAGGCTTTACCTCCTACCAGCCTCTGTTGGTAGGATCAAGGATCAGAAATGCTGACACTGTAGAAAGATGTACTAACAATTTTGGATGGAAAGGGGTAGCCCCAAAGAGGGGAAGGACAGAAGAATTAGTTAAGAAGAAAAAGGAAATCAATTAATTATTATGTAGCCAAGGTCATGGGGGTGGGGGTGCCCAGTTCTGTTTGTAGGCTTTTTGTTTGTTTTTGTTGCTGATGATATGTGCATGCGCGCGTGTGTGTGTGTGGGTGTGTGCGTGCGCACGTGCTGTTATTAATTTAAAAAATTAAAAAGAAATGCTGAGACTACAAAATATGTGGGCTGTACCACACTGGGGAAGTTTAGTTGAAGGAAATAAACCAGGTATGGAAACTATAGTTTGAAGTTGGCTTTTAGTCTGAAGCACAGAAAACCATCTTTGCCTGAGTCCAGACATGTTATCAAAGAAGAATTAGTTGAAACTTTCAATCTCCTCTTTATGACTGAAAAAGGAGAAAAAGAAGAAACAGAGATATAAAATAGGGAAAGAGCAGTCTACCATTGGTTGGATAGGTTATTTCCTGTTTCAAACTGGGTAGCTATTTTGAAATATCCCCTTGTATAATGGTGAGGGCTGCCCATAGAAGTCAATGAAAAAAATCCAGGTTTTCAGTGTAGCTGGGATAGGACATTTGTGTCTCTTGCAGATGCAATATCCTTAATATCCATTTGCCAATTGCAATAACTAAGATTTTGCTAAGAGATTATATGCCAAAAGAAAGACAGTTTCTGTCTGGTAAGCAATCCTTTGGTATACAGACGAGGCAACAAGAAAAATTCACTTCATTTGGCCTAGGTTTATTCATGCTAGTCACCAACTATGCGTTAATGTGCAGAAAGTTCCTTCAACCTCCAGTAGAATTATATGACAAACCAATCAAGACAGTTTCACAACTGTTGTATCATAAAAGTCAGAAAGTTAGTCATACTAAGGAAATCATTAGAAGGATGAACAGTTATTAACAGTTTATCTGAAATTTTCCATTAAAATGGCTTTCTTGAGATCTGCGCCAAAACTGATAAGGAGAAAAAAATACTATTAAGACTAACAAAAATACTATTTTTTAGTAAAAAATACTATTATACTAAAAATACTAACATAAACCTTTAGCATGTGTGGAGGGAATGGAAAGAGAAGCATGATAACTTTTTAAATATGACTCCTGTGATTTTGTTCTTTCTTTCAGATTTTATTTTGTGAACAGTATCCATTCAGCTTTTATCATACTTTAATCGAATCTGAAAGAAGAAATTATTCTGGGATAATTTCCACTTATAAAACAATATTGCTAGACTATGAAATTGCTAATACTAGATAATGAAGCAGACATTCCATCTAAAGTTAATATTGTTGTTGATGGTGAGAAAAGAATTAATTTTCTAGGTTGAAAATGTCAAGTTCTTTCCTGTCTCCATGCCCTTTGCAGAGTCATCCTATCTGAATATTTTAATAGTTCACACTACAGAAAAAAATTTTTGCATTACACAGAAATGATGAGGAAAGTGATTTACCTTCTTCTGATATTTTAAATCATACTCCCCCAAAATATAAAAGGAAAGAGATGCAAATCATTTCACACGGAGAAAAGCATAATGAGGACCCAGAAGGAAAAACAGATTGAAGTGGGAGGAATTAGGGTCTACACCGAAAATAAACACAGATAAATATTGTAAGTAGCTTCCACCCAAGTCTTTCAAAATGCACTGAAAATTAAGACTAAACAAGGCCTTCTGATTACCTCTACAGGCAAGAAACAATACAATTACACCCCAAAGAATTCCAAAGTCTCAGTGGTACCAGAAAGGGGGCATGTTTAGAAGTAAGGATTCTAGCAGAAGGTGAAAGGAAGATGCCTTAAAAAAAACCAAAAAAAACCCCAGTGCTACTCAGGTGGTAGTTCTCACTCGTATATTATTGATTCTGATATGACAGTGAACAGTTACTCAGTGCAGAAGGAAACAAATAATAAAGCTAACACATCAATCAATCCAACTAGCCCATTAAATGTGCTGGAGATAAGCATGGGGGCCAATTAATCTGGCATGTTCCCCTCCCTTGAGTCATCCCTTCATATCAGAGAGCCCTTAAAATTTCCATCCCTTGCAGGTCTCCCTACCTCAGTGGGTGTCATCCCCACTGGCAAATGAGGGTTTGTCCCAGAGTCCCTTGCAACAACCCATTCCCTGGTTGGAGGAACATTGTAGGAAATGAAGCCCAACTGCTTTATGGTTGAGCTGCTGCGGAAGACTGTGAAAGAGGTACCTTCCATGTACCTTCCATGAAAAACAATCTATGGTAGCATCAACAACAGGAAGCAGTGGAGCTAAGCCCTTTTGGCCCTGCAGGTACCCTAAGGGCTAACAAGCATGAGGGAGGAGTATTCCAGTGCTGCCAGGCTTCCTTCTCATCAAGGAAGGAGAAGGCTACCCAGCAAAGAACAGAAGAGGTACACTTTGCTTGCTCACAGAAAGCCATACTGGGAAGAGAGAACAGCTGTGATTGCAACTCGGGAAGATGACGTTGTGAGTTCCTCAGTGTTCTTGATATCTTACAGTAAGTAAATGCTAGTTACTGGGAGAGACACAAGACCTTGGAGAGGATATTGTTTACCCAAAGGATAAGCATTTTGTTCCTTCTTCCAGAGAGATGCTGAGAACAACTGCTAATACATCTCTGTACAGGTCAGTTGTGTATAATTCCATCTATAGGTTTATTTTCAAAGCAGTCCATTTAGACATGTCTAAATGTGAATTAACATATGTATTGTAGTTTTTAGAATAGATGGAGTACCCCCCCCACACACACACACACACAACAGAACACATACAGATTTCTGACATGAAAGAGATCACTCTACAGGAAATATGTCATGCATAACTATGCTTTCACAATCAAAAGCACATCTCTTGACCACACACTCCTAATTTTACCTCAGTATCCTACTGTTTTATTATTAAAGAAAGAACATTTGGGCCTTCTAAACAGAAATAGTGCAGCATTGCCAAGCCAAATAAATATGTGTGCGTGCGCGCATGTGTAGGTATCTCAGATCCTTACTTAATACTAGAATCTAAGGTATGCAATAGCAACTAAACCCTCCTTTGAAAAACCATTGCTTTCTCACATCTAGTTCTCAAAATTGGCCAAAGGATGAGGTTTCTTCATTTGTTCTACAAAGCACTACATAGCCCTATGGCAATGGATAAATAAATTACAAGAATTTTCTTAGCAGTGCATGCGCAAGGCTGTTGGGTCTTCTAAGAAATCGATTTGTTTTCATCTCTTGAACATATGCGTACCTTACATTTTTTAAATCTGTAGGTGGCCACAAGAAGGCACTCCAAACAGTAAACACATGACTATTTCACAGCTGTACAGTTTACACAGATACAATAATAATTTTTGCTTTTAAAATCATTCACAATTGGTATTTGCCAATGTTGTGCCTATACCCCCTGACAGATTAAGCATGGTTATTCTCATTTTCTTGGGCTAATTTCATTCTCACATGGTATCTCTGTGTGTTGTGAGTGGATTTCTCTCCCTTCCCCAAATTTTCTTTTTCTCTTCACAGCAGATGAAGACCAGAGGTCTCTAATTAAAGTCCTTCATTATGTTAAAGGTAGCCAGCCAGGATTGTCTTTGTGATACAAAGGTCATTAGCAAGAAACAGCCATCAAGTTAATGACCCAACTAATTAGGGATTGCATTCTACCCATGCTAGTGGCTGATTCAAAATCAGAATCCCCCTCTTCCCTTTCCTACCAAATGGATTTAGCTCCATCTTCAGGAAGGTTTGTGTTGCTTGTGGGCTGGATGGCAGGAATGCCAGATTTTACCTGGCTAGCTCTCCTGAGTGGGCACCGGGCAGCTGGATGGATCTCGTTACACTCCTCTCCCTCTGACTTTCCTTATTCTACAGTGTTTCTCCCTAAACCAGAGGTGGTCTGGCTTCTCATCAGCCATTCTGTCTGTCTTGCCGGCCTTGGGGTTGCAGCCAGGCATTCCAGCTCTCCTTCTTTTTCCAGTTCAGATTCATAATATGAGGAATCCATCTTGGAATACTGTGATTTGGAAGAGTGCATCCAGTGCCTACACTGTGTGTCTGCACACAAGCACATGCACACAAAACTTAGAAATAGCAAAGTATTCAATAAAAATGCTCCAGCATATAAGAGAAGAAATACTACCATCTAAAAGCCTGGAGGAAAAAAAAAAAACAGATGTCCAGTATCATGTGGTTACCTGGCCAAATCCATGCAAGGATCTGTCAGACTGGTTGAAGAATTAAAGTACTCTCTGCTAGCAGCCAAAACCAGTTCAATGCTTTTCTCATAGCAGACTCTGTACTGAGGTTTTCCTTTCGAAGCAACACTAACTGGAGGATCTATTGACCAAACACTGCAATGCATCATTTGCCCAGCTAAGTGGATGTTCTCCAGCCGGCTTGAACACAGAAGGCTTTCTGTAAATATCTGCACAATAAAAGACAGTACAATGTCATATAAGCAAAGTATATATATTTGATAAATACTTCAGCATGAGTTTGAAAAATATTTGTGACAGCTTTTAGCTACAGACCCATGTAATTAGATCTCAACAAATCATCTGCTGAAATGGAAACACAATCTAATTTGCTACCCTCAGGAAACCTTTTGCATTAATCTATCTGCAAGGAAGCACTACAGGATGACTGCAAAATCCCTGCATGTTGCAGAAAACAGTGAGATGTATTTGGAGATACATTCTTCTATCATTCTCAGGGTCTAGTTCAACCAAGGCACAGATTCAAGCTTGCTTATCAAGGAATGAAACTACCTGTGCCAAAGACAATATACAGTTTATTGAATACAATGATAAAATATGGCTGCAGTATATAAATAAGCAAAAGAAATCTTATCTCCCCTTTTCCGTGACTGTAACTGGTTCCTTGAGTGGGCCATGGGATGCTCTATTTGCCTCCAAAGATGCCTGGGTGAGCATGTCAATTCCTCTCCCCAAGCCAAGAACAAAAGATAACACCTCTTCCTATGGAATTTATAACATTCCTTTCTCCTATAGTTTCACAGGCTGTCTACACATGCTTTGGCCCTGCTCCCTGGGTGATGTTGGTGGGGGAAGTTGCTTTAGTAAGACAAACAGCTTTGTTCTCACAGTGAAGGCAGCTCTTATCTATAGAACAATTTGGCTGCTTTTGGCAATTTCTAAGGCATTTTTCCTAACAAGCTGAAGGCCATAAGGACTTGGAATGAATCCAAAAATAATCCTGGCTTTTGGACTCTGGGAAAATTCACTATACTACCTGTTGGCCCTTAATAACCTCCATGCCATTCTTCCAGCAGAGTCCATCCAATACAACACTGTGTTTCAGTTGGGTATCATATAGGCTGATTGCTATGAGTATAGTCTAGGCTACAGCCAGCCCATGCAGCTGGACATTATGAAAATTGGTAATGGAAACTCATATGCCATTACCATAATTCTCAAGGAGGACTCCTAACTATGAAAAACCTATATTGCTTAGGTACAATTTGAAAGCCACTAAAGCTTCCAAAGTGGAAATTTGGAGTTGTGGAGTTTAGGACAATACAAGCAGCAGCATTAGCAGAGAATAAAATATGAAAGTCAAATTGATCATGCCTCCTAAAAACTATTAAAGCATTACCAAAGCATTCTTATAAAATGTGACTATTAAAGTATACTCAAAATAGAACTTTAATGTGGCAATAAGTGTAGTATTTTCTCTTGACAGGACACATTAATTAGTTATTGTTTTTCCTACCCCTCCAAAAGTAACAAGTTTAAATGTTCAATTTGCTTCGCAGATGTCATTTTCCTTTTTCTAATTTCTTCAAAAGTGTTCTAATTCACTCTCAAAAACCCTCAAGAGTCATAGAGATTAGCAACTATGAGCAATAAAATTGATAGGCTATAATACTGAGGCTGACATTAATATGAAAATGTTTTAAAAGATGTTATATCTTTTTGACAACAAAAATACTCGCTCAAGTACTTAAGCAAATGGCACATATTCAAAAAAGCACTTTTTTGCTTCAATGCAATTCCCAAATTAGTAACAAATTGTTTTAGGAGAGAATATGTTTATACATACGCACACATGTTCAAGTGTGCGTGCACATGTGTGCGTGCGTACATGCATGCACACCCCGCTTCTGCAAAAATTGAATTTTGCATTCCACTTTAAATGCAAACAGGAAAACATCTATCAAAGTTCTGTATGCACCATGAGTGACAATGTTAAAAATGAACTTTCTGTTCAATGAACCATTCAATAAACATAACAGTGAAGCAGCAGGCCATTTATCTTTCTATTGCTTAGTTAGCAATTTTACTTTGGAGATTCTATATATTAAGAAACTCAACTTTCCCATTTTATAAATTTATTAATTTTTATAATTCTGCAGTGTTTTCAGTTATTCTGTAAAACTGTGAGGAACTCTGAGCTTCATTAAGTTGATATATTTCTAATATTTAAAATCAAATAACAAACCATAGCACATTGTTAACAAAACTTTCCTTAAGCAAAGTTTCTAAAGGGGTGAAAATAGCCACAAGGCACTTTGGTAACTACACTGATAATGAGCTTCAGTGTTCAACTGTGGGGAAGAGACAGTCCCAGAAATAGAGAGACCAAAATGGGAAAGGAGTGTGCTATGGATCCATGTCGCAAACCTGCAGCCAGACGTGTCCTCTGGTTATGTGGCACAAAGCTACAGGCTTGGAACAGAACTGAATTCTGTCTGTGGTAATGAGCCAGGAGGACAGCTGTTCAGAAAATCATGTAGGTTTCTGCCTGAAGCAGTAGTTTGCCTGCCCACAGAAAGGCTAACCTTGCCTCTGCATTTGTGTGCACAGGGTGTCTCATGATGTTTCCTCAACGCTTCCACACATTCCTGTGGGCTAAGCCCTCACACAGTTGGGATGGCAAGGTCAACACTAACATATCTGAGACCAGAACAATGAGCATTTCCATGTTTTCACTCTGAATATACAGCTTATTAACAATTTGGTTCAGAAGGTTCATTCTGCGTTGAGAAAATTCTCAAAGGGCTCAGGAAAAATACCTTGGAGTACCCTTGAGCTTTTTATTGATGTAGGCAAAGAATTCCATTTTTTTTCTCCTGTTCCTTGCCTTCAGCGGGCTTTTTTGGAAACTTGGCCAAGAGGTCTATTTCCAAAAAGTTCTATCTGAAATACTAGGCCCAAACAATAATTAGACAGGTCTATATCCTTTCGTTAACTATCCTTCCTCCTCAGTCCGATAAAAACAGTCTGTGGTTTACTGAAGTTTTTCGTGTCTGGTCCTGCTAGAAACATTTGAGCAAGCACCTCTCTATGATATGGGCTCCAATCCCTACAATGAGACCCAGTGTGGTGTAGTGGTAAAGAGCAAGGGTCTGGGATTCATGTGATATGGGTTCTAGTCCCCACTCAGCCATGGAGTCAACTGGGTGACTTTGGGCCAGTCACAGATTCTCCGTCGAACCCAACTCACTGTTGTTGTGGAGATAAGACTGAGTGCTGGAGGAGGAGAATGATATAAGCCACTTTGAGCTCTTTTTAAGAAAAAAGGTGGAATATAACTCAAATAAATAAATAAAGGGTTGTACATTTATTCAGTAGCAGCTTATCAAAGGGCAACCTGGTAGACCAGTGTAGACTAGGAGACTCAGTTACAAAAACACTGACTCCCCAGACCCCTTCCTTGAATGGGAGGACCCATTCCAAAGGATGGGAAACAGTCTCCTAAGGATAGCTATTTCCTCAAAACTTTAGTTTAGCTATACAAAATACCAAGAACTGAGTCACTTGAAATGGTTTCTTATTGCTATGATTGTCAAGAACACTAGATAGCAATACGATCTGAATGTTAGAGACACCGAGTCTATATTTTAATCCTGAAGAGCAATTGTATGTCCATTGCTGTATGTCTGGTATCAATAGTAACATGTAGAGAGTATTGCACGAAGTTGTAGCTATTTCCTTTTCCATGAAGAAAAACAGATAGAATCACCTCATAGCAAGTATCTGCTTCTAAGCAAGTGTAGACGTTCCGCTGCATTTCCAACATATCTTGCAACAATCCCATCCAGTGTGTCTCATTAACAGGAGGTTGTCTTTTAAGAGATAAAAAGCACTCAGGAACAAAGAATTCATCATACATTTTTGAATACTGAAATCAAACACATCTTAAAAGCTGGACAAATATCACCTCAATGGTAGGGACACACTATTTTGTGGAGAAATACAGGCAGTTCCTGGGTTACAAGTGTCCAAGTTACGAACAACCTGTGCTTATGAGTGAAATGCCATAAAGCTTATTAACAATTTTAAAAAATTACTGCAGAAAATCATCATCACCACAGAGAGAGAGGAAGTGAAAGGGGAGAGGGAGGCCTTCAAAGCATGCCGTCCTGTCCTGTCCATCCAAGGAGGGAAATCTCTCCACCATTACCTTTCTGCAAAGAGGAAGCTCTGTTGTGTTTGGGTGGGATAGGGGTGCTTGAGCTATACACAGTTTTTCCACTTTCAAATCCTAAACCCCACAAATGTGGAGTGCTTACTAGATGTGATCCAACTTACATACAAATTCAACTTAAAGACAACTTTCCATTTTCTCTGAAACAGAACTCATTTGTAACCTGGGGACTGCCTATAACAGGACTGCAGAAATGCTTTGCCTTTAGAGTTTCACATACAGTATTTCAGCAATCCTTACAAAATTTGTGTACAGCAGTCAAGTTTTTATTTTACAGGCATGACAGACTGCAAATTGTGCTTGAGAGAATGGCTTGATCAATGAGTCCATGCCCAAAGAAAGATTTCATCCAGGGGCCAAACAGCTTGCAACTTACTATTCTGGCTCCCTGAAAAAAAAAAAATCTAAAGCTTCCAAACAAATTCCCAGGCTACACAGAACTGACCCTGATTTGAATCCATAATTCACATTCAGGATGCCCTAAATTTCTAAGTCACTAGAGTCTACCTTCAATTCTTGTCCTTCCCTCATGATCCTTACAACACAAGCACTCTCTGTGCTCTTATGTGGAACTTAAGGAAGGGGAAACAATCTGTTCTCCAGTCCCTCTTTTCACCCATAATACATAAGTAATACCATGTACAATGAGCAGCATACATTGCTTAGGTTTTTTATAGCAACCTTTATCAATGTCTTAGCCAGAGGGGCCAAATCTTTCAACATACCACATGATCATTGCTTGTAAATAAATATTTCTGCTTCTGAAATACAAATGGAAACAACAAGATCAGGCATGCCCTTCACTGTCCAGGAACCGCCACCATTACTCACTCACTTGCGGCCTGTGTGCCTGGTCAACCTAATCATCAGCTTCCGTGCTTCTTCTGGGCTGTTTTGCGTGTCTTTTACAAATGAGATGGGTTTCTGGAGCCCGTGCTTCTCCAGAAGTTCTGAGACACTGCAATAAAAATCCGAAGCATCATCAGCTATTCAGCTGAATTCTATACCTTGCCTCATATTATCAACATGCAACCTAGAGAATCTCACATTCTTAGGATACAAAATAAAATAAATAACAAGAAGGCGTTTCTCTCAAAAGTCAACTCACACTCAAGCTGGATGGTCTAAGCAGCATACAATACAAAGAAATACTGTACCCTTCACTCCATCTCGTAACTGTTTATTTATTTTGCAGAAAAACACAATAAAGCATGCATGTGCAGTAAAAGTAAGAATTTCGCTTATTCTACACGATGGTGAACAAGTCTTGTATAGTAGACAATGCTAGTGCAAGACCATACAATTAAGGCACATGCCACTTATTTTGTCCCAAATATTTATACATAAAAAATTGACTGGTGCTACATGGAAAAAGAGCAGGGTTATCTAAAATATCCCAATTTTGCAGCTATCACAAGGATACTCTGAGCCTTTCTTGTGGTCAAATGGTGCATTTTACAGCACTGGAAAGAGTTATTGATACACCAGTGAGTGGAAGACCTACAGTGACTTTCTTAGGGCTCTGTGAACTGACAGCTAACTGGCAATAGCACTGTATGGACACATTTGTGACACCTTTTGACTAGCCTTCACCCACATTTCATTTCACGGAGAAGTCAAGATTCATCTTTAACTCAATGCGATTTGATCACTTGTTGAGAACTGAATGCTGAACTCTTACTTCCCTTCACTTTCCTTCTCACACTTGACCAATGAATGGTGTGAAGCCATGGTATTGCCCAAGTAGGAAAATGGCATACAAAAACATTTATACTGGCACTGAGCAAAGGGTTTCCCATGTTTTTGCAGCGTCTTCCAAGTATGATAATTTCTTCTTCCAGTAACTAGAGCAGGCAATCAGCTGAGCAATTAAACTCTTGAAATCACTAAACATATGAGAGAGATTCGTAAGTGGAGATCCATGGATCCGATGAGTTCATCCAATGATGCTGAATGCTCCAGTTGTTAAGCCCAAAAGCACAAAGCCAGAAGACAGGTAAAAACAATGCTCCAGGATGCATTTTCACTCTCGCATCTCACATACTGAAGAGGGAATGAAATAAGGAACAAGACCTTTGTGGCTTCCACAGGAACAAAAAGAGGGACAGTGGAATACGAAGAAAAGAAATGGTATTTACTGGGACAGGAAATGAGATGGTAGCCAAAAGGGGACCTACTGCTATCTACTGATAAATCTATACCAAAACCTTACAATGGTGATTCAACTGGAATGCTGATTGCTACACAAAGCAAACACCCAATCACTCCTATGGAACTAAATAACATCAACAAAAAGAAGAATGGCAGCATTTCTCTGCTGGTCACTGGCAATTTATACAAAACACAGTTGTGCTTTTGTATGGTTATGGTTTTGTAGGTGCAGTGGTTAGTGTGAGAGTGTGATCGGGGTTAAGGTCCCCACTTGGCCATGAAGCTTACTGGGTGACTTTGGGCCAGTCCCTGCCTCTCAGTCTGACCTACTTTGCAGAGTTGTTGTGAGGATAAAATGAACAGGACAGTAACTCTACTGGATCTTCAATAAAACTTCCTGGGGTTCTTTACAAGAAAAAAAAGTCAGGACATAAATGCAGTGTAATAATAAAGTGTACACAGGTGTGTGTGCGCACGTGCATGAAAAAATACATAAAATGTTTAAGGAGATAATTTATTTTAATTGTTTAACATCTTAACAGCACAGTCCTATGACCACTGGACAGTATCTAGATGATCACAGGATTTTTCAGAGTCCCAGTTATGCTGTTGGTAAATCTCTCTGAACTCAGAGCAGGGTCTCTGCACTAAGGGCATCCCACCACTACCTACTATGGAAAGAACTGTGCTGGCAGAATCTCCAAGGTTGCAAGAATGATCTTGGAGATGGGCTTCAGGGGATGCTTTGAGGAGTAGGGAGGGGGAAAGACAGGTGCCATCAAAGAAAGGAGGTGCCCTGGTGATGCCTCAGCCTCCTTCACTCCAACTCTGAGATGCCTTAGCTGGCCAGCCAATATTGGCTACCCATTGTGTGGCTGGGAGAAAGAAGCACTAAGACAAACTTTGCCTATGCACTCCTCTGCCCATTCCAGAGGATGTGCACAGTCCTCCAAGTCCAGGGGATTACAGGCATGCTGATCACATTGCATGTTGAATTTCCTATTTTAAAAAATAGGAAATAATGCTACAATACCTTTCACAGTTCCAAGCAGAAGAGAAAAACAAAAACTTAAGACATACACATTTGTTTATGAAAAGGACCAAGGTCTGCAAAGTAATTTCCAATACACTTGCAGTAATACTTGACCTCTAAGCCCTTTTGTGTAAACTTTCTGGCATACTGAACTGCAAGAAATAATGCTATGTTAATAAAGTTAATGTACTGAGAGAGATGAATGAAGAAAGGAGCCTCTTACCTAAGAATTTGTTCCAGTTCATCAACTTGATCATGCAGATTATTAGTAATGTCTGTTTCAGGGCTGGAAAAGATGCAAAACATTTGACTATATTATGTACTAAGAAAAATAATTTAAAAATACAAGCAACATCCACACACTAGCCTAGGATATTGAGTGGCAAAATAGTATAGGACATGATCCATCTCCTAATCGCCTCTAGTCATCCAGTTCAATTAGAGGATGGAAAAGAATTGTACCATTCCATGTCCGAACTGCACCTCCAATGCAGGGCTTGGATCTTTGGGATTAGAAAGCCTGAAAAAATAAGGGTTGCTTTATGCCAAGTCAGCTCACTAATTGTTAGTATACATTGTCCCAGTTTGCATGATCACCACAGCTTAAATAAGCCACAGTGGCTCAAGCATGATGTGTACTGGGCTCTCTTTCCCAAATGGCCTGCCCAGGTGTTTCATCGAAACCCAGTTCAAAAGGCTTCTGTGAGGGAAAAACAACACAGTGCTTCTCCTGGGTTTTAGAAAGATCTTCTATTAGCCCTGTCTGAAGAACAGAAGGGACTGAATCTGGGAGCTTCTCTACCACTGAGCTGCATGCATTCCCATGACTCTTTCTCCACCAGGTGAAACCAGTCCAGAGACCTACTAGGAGTGGCAGTACAACTACCCCCCCCCCCCACATTCATTTCCTGGCAGTCCTGAGCGCTCTGGTCAGCATATACACAGATGGGATGTGCTCATGCAAAGTTCAGCAAGTGAAAAACAGCTCTTTAGATATGCAATATAGCATCCTCTATCATTCTATAATGAGTTCTCATGCTAATCTTCTATATGCAGGGAACACTTAAATATGCAATTATGTCACTCGTTGACCAAAATGTAGTCTAGAAAAAGATTTTGCCACTAGATTCTGTTAACCATATAAATTGACCATTAGGTACATCATTCTTTGGATATTAGTATTAATATTGCCAATATTTAACAGATTTTAAAAGAATTTAAAAAAATCATTTCCAAATGTTTGGTACATGGCAATATTTACCCGTAACCTCTCTGGGGGAGACATTCCAAGATATCATAGCACAGAGACAGCTGGTTATCACGTTTGCAACTGTAGATGCATTCTAAAGCAATCATCATCAACAGGTCTTGATCGGAAATGATCTTTTGCTGACACTAGGAAAGAAATAAAGGCTGTATTCATTGCAGCATACCAACACATTTGCACAATTTCTACTTACTTTCTCCACTAGGATGGCAGGACCATCAACTGATTCAATTAACTCAATCACAACCATAGGGCTAATTCAGTTATTTTTTGTTAATTACAGAGAATTTCCTGGATCTTTAATAAGACTCAATTGGAAATCTCTGATAATGACAGAATCTGCAGTGGAAGCTCATTTGTAAGTGGTTGGCACAGCAGCTGGTTGGAACAGCAAGATATTTCCACTTTCAACCAACTTCCCACCCACAACGCACAACAATATTTTTCATCAGGTGAATTATTAAAATAAAAAATGTGTAATTCTGAAGCTTTGGCTTAGTAACATTATGCTATTTTCTTCATTTGCACATAAATAGCTTCAATATGCACTGGAATGCAGGTTTCCCTTGACTTGTTGTTTGCAGCCAATCTACTTCTGTATGCACTACAAAAAAGTAAGGCATTAATGAACATCCTAGCAAGATGCCACTTAAATTGCAGGGATATGAATTTAGTCTAGATCTGTAGCCATAAAGCAATGCCTCAAGAAGATTAAAGCGACTACAAATTTATGTAAAGGCCACATTAATCTCTCCTACAAAAGCTCCTTCTTCACACCCATCGCTGCATTTCAGATTCCACTGAGTACATCCTGAGGAAGTAGCTTGTGCAAAATAGCCCACACTGACAATGCAATCCTTTACATATTCCTATACTTCAAAGCCTCACTGAGTTCGGCAAGGCTGACTCTTAAGAAAATGGCTACAGGATTGTAAGCCTGACTCTCTCACCATGTTCCACTCTGCTTTTTAAGGTCAAACAGTTTAGCAGCCATTTCTGTGTCCTGCATTTCAAGGCCATATGTATAAAGAATCAAATTCGTGCTGCTATCCCAAATGGAGAGGTAGCATCCAACTGGTATTCCTCTGTGGACACTTACCAGCAGAGCACAGAGGGGACAAATTTTGGACATTCCTCTTCTTCCCTTGCAGTGATGGCAGTCAGTTACTGCACAATGGAACTTAGCCCTCTTTGCTATTCATCAAAGCCTAATGCCTGAGAATATTTCAAAAACATTTTAGCCTTTTAGATCTGGGCTATCCTTTGATGGTTTGAACTGGTTCACCGCGTGTGATGCTTCTTCTCACCATCACACATAGTGAAAGCTCTCTTGCAACCATTTTCCATTCCTGGTTGCCACTGAAAATCCCTCCTCTTTGGCCTAGTCAACACATGAAGCAGAAGGAAGTAGGAATCAAGTGGCAGAATGAATTAAACTTCAGGTTGCGTGTAACAAATCCAATTTTTGAATGTACCCATGCATAGAAGAACCAAAACTTCAATGCAGCTAGAAGACTAGCACAGCAGGGAAGAAGCTGGGCTCCAAAGCACTCTCCTTCAGGTGTTAAAATGACTTGTTTATACTGATATGCAATGTATATTTTATGGGTGAGAAAATTCAGAAATAGCATCCCTCAGTGTAGTCCAATTCCACCATTCGAGGATTCTGCTGCCTCATCCCAGGTATGTACACTGAGCTTAAGGCTGCATCCAATGTGCAAAAGGAAAACAAGTCAGCTTGCTGCTGTTATGAGATACACTTAATATCCTGAGGAAGTGCTGTAAAACTGGACCACACTTTCCAGCTAAATGCTACTCTCAAGCTGTGCCCACAGCCACAAACTGCTGCATTTCAGTTTGGTTTCATCTTTTACTGCCTATCCTGAATTTTCACGCATAAAATTGCTGTACAAATATTGTTCTTTATTGACTTGGACTTTTCATAGATCTGTACCACCAAACCCCTACATGCCAAGAAAATTCGTGTTGTTTTTTGCTGCCCAAAGAAGGGAGAAATATATGCAGAAGCATAGCAGAGACATATCACAGGATACAGTGCAGACTATACATAAAACTACATTGTTGTTTGGCAGGGATACATTTTGGGCAAGGACCCAAACAAAAGCAAATTTAGCAGAGAGCCTCCTGTTACTAAAAATACCCAATCTGCTGAGGAAAGGTAGAAGTGATTAATGATTAGAGGTATATTCTGGCATTAAGCATGTATCAGAAGCTTGCTTAGAGAACAAATGCTTATATTGACAAGGCAAATGTTGAGTTCAAGAAAGCTGTACAATGAAAATCAACTTTAACATTGATCAGTAAAACAAGTTACACTATTAAGTAAATAGAATTGCAAAGACAATACAAGAGGAAGGGCTGAGGGCAGGGGAGGGAAGGAGCACTTGGAACTTACTGATGGCTTTGAATGCTCAAATATTTTCAGAGGAAATGTTAGGTCTTCTTTAGCCAAAGTGACCAAATACTCTTTCAAAAGCTTATTGGCAATGCCAGGAGACTCTTTTTCACAGCGGTGGAGAAATGGGACCATCCACTGGTAAGCGTTTTTCACGTACCTGTCTTCTGATGACTGGAATGTCAGCAGTGTTAAATGAAAGAAACAGGAACACATATTAAGAGCAGGGCCAAATATCTCAGGTCAGAAAAAATGCTAAAATGACAAAAAGAATCTAAGGTTTTACAATGGTAAACCATTTTTTTGCCCTGTCCCCCCATTGCTTTTTAAGTAGCTGCAGCAGCAGCATACAAGATGTTAGAACCTGTGTCAATTAAAACCTCTCGGAAAAAACAACCAATAAGCATTAAGTGAAAATACCCAGCTCATTCTAGAGAACACCAAGCAACACCAATATGCACAATAGGCTGGGGCTGCTTTTATAGGGCAAACAAGAAAGAGAAACACTGGCATGAGCAAGGATGCCATCCGTCACCTGGCCCAGAAGAATATTTTTCCTACATATCTTGCTAGAACAATATAGGAAAGAACCCACTGCCCCACCACTACTCAGATCATACAAATCAGTCGATTCACTAGGAGTGGCGAGGAAGGACTTTTCCACCCAGGCAGGTTTGCGCTGCGCTTCTATAAATCTCCATCCCACCACCTATCCCGTAAAACCATCAGGACAACAATAGGCAGATTCATCAGTATGCTTCCAACACAGAGCTGTGCCCTTTTTACAGTTTCTCATGCAGAAAAAGAAGTCAAGCCACAACACTTAAGCCCACTGAAATATGCGAGCTGCTTAACTCATCACTGAAATTGTGCTAGATTGTGGAGCCTTGCCCCAACACCTAGGGACCTCGTAGAGTAGATGACCATAAATCCAGAAAAAAAATGAACTAACGAGATTGGATAATCATGGGATTTCATGCTACCAGGGGCAACTTTTCACTTCATCTCATCACGGAAATCTCTCCTGCCCAACCCAACACAGGAACAAACACCTACGTTCAGCATTAACAGGTTTAGTTTCTCGATGTCCTTCATCTGCTGTAGCTCCTTCAAGGTCAGAGTTATGTCGCATCCAGTCTCATAAACCAGTGTCTCCAGTGTAATCAGATTGTCACAGAGAGAATGAAGACCAGGAATGTTCCTCTCCATGCCAAGGCGGACCAGAGAAAGAGCACAATCCACCTATTTTTTAGAGAATAAGCATCACTGAAACCGAAGTGTCTCACCATTGACAGTTTGAGATTTGTTCTGATTAAGGCTTTTTAGTATATTATCAATTTAACTCTTTACAATTCATGTACTAAACATGGGTGGAGGGGAGCAGGAAGATTTCTTGATTGATTTGTGACTTTAAATTGGTTCTAATGTATTATATACAGAATTATTAATAGAAAAAGACATGACTGAGAAAATAAATGTAATACTCAATTTGAGAGGGAAAACTTATATGTGCATGCAAATTGTATGAATGAGTGTCACAGTTTCTAGAAATCTTCTAAGTCAGAACTTTGACAAATGACTGGACAGGATTAATTTCAATTCCCTGTTGCCCTTACTACATCAGTTAGCATGGCAGGAGCACAATCTTAACTCATATGAAGTATTTCAAGATTGTTTTCTGTCAACATAATGAAGATCAGAAGATTCAAATGTCATTGTACATCTCAATCAGCAGTACAACCATATTCAGACTACTCTGCACAATCCTAGTACCCCACTCCTAGACCTCAGGAGATATCCTAAGCTAAGAAAAATAAAGAATGGCAACTTGCAGCCAGACCCTAAGCATGCTTGCTCAGATATTTATTTTATTTATTAAAAGCTTTTCTATCCTGTCCCCTACAGAACGTCTCGGGACGGCTTACAATAGATAAAAGGGCCACTCTTTTTAGTGGCTCAATCAAGTATGCATAAGACTGCAGCCCAAAATGATTCCACTTAGGGGGCTGTTGTCTGGGGTGCCGTTAGCATAGTTCAGGTTCCTAGTTCCAAGGACGGAGATAGCACCCCAAACTCGGAGCTGAGAATTGGAGCTCGGATCCCCCTTGGAACTGGTGTGGAAAACATTATGCTGGATGCTCTGAGAGGTCAAGAGAAGAAAACCACCTTGGATAAATGTGTTTAAGGAATCAGGAAGGGGAGGAGACTGAAGTGACCGGGAAACAAGCTATTCTGAAACCTCTGAATGTTCTCTGCGGTGGTGTCCCTGCTATGGAATGTGCTCCCCAGAGAATTTCGCCTGGCACTGACATTATATGCTTTTCAGAGTCAGGTCAAGCCCTATTTATTTACCCAATATTTTAAAGTTTAAATATTTTAATTATGTTTTTATCCTCAGTCATGTGGTATTATGATGTATTTATTAGGTTGTTTTATACTGTAAGCCGTCCAGAGAAAAACCGTAATGGACAGGTTAGAAATACCCCTAATAAATAATAAACAAATAAATAACGTGGATTCGGAGGAGTTTTTTTCCTTACTGCATCGGATATGTGCAGGGCCTCCGACTTTAGAGGCTCTGCTGTTCTTAGAGAACCTTCCTAGGAAGGAAGTCGCCTTCCCAAATATGTTGGACTACAGTTCCCTTTATCTTCAGTCATCATGTTAGCTGGGAACAATGGGCAATATCATCAGACACATATGGGGGCCACCATACTGGCTGCAGGAGCCCAAGTTGCCTCAGGGTAATATCATTCCATTCACACGTTAAGACAGGACACTTCTGATACCAGTTCTCCATCGGTAGTTTGCTTTTTACACTTCAGTTCACGTCTAGGGAAATGTTATATGGCCTTGCAAGCTGAATATTAATTATACAGACTATTCATTCCATCCCTGTCTCCAATTCCTTAACTGAGTTGCTCTAATTCTTTACAAATATTTTATTATTTACAATATGTATTTCCTTCCTTTCTTCCACAAAATTCAAGGCAGCATGCCAGATCCTCCTCCTCTCCATTTTATCCTCACAACAACCCTGCATCAGGGACTGAGTCCCTGAGTCAAGGGCTGGATCAGAGTCACCCAGTGAGCTTAACTGCCAGCTGGGGACTAATACCTGGAACTCACAGGTTCCAGTCCAACACTCTCACCACCACACTCTCAAGTATAAGGACTAGAAAATTTATTTTAAAAACAGCAACAGGATTTAAATATATTGCAACATGTTGGCAAGCCTTCCTGACAGAATTAATGTGATTGCAAGGTGACAAAAAAAGGAATCTAATGACAAGCTGACATGCATTTTGCTTGTGTACACTTCCAAGAAGCTTATTTCCAGTTAATGTACTTCTATAAATTAACTATGCAATAAAATAGGCTGTAAATTATATTTACAGTGATGGAAATGCTTCAATAAGCAGAACTTTAAAAAAAATCATCATAGACTTGCCCAGTAATTACAATATTTTAAATGTCATAGTTGGAAAGTAGAATGTTTGAAAATGTACTACTTGGAAAATATGGAAAGTGGAAATTAGATAGTTAAACTAGGTACATACGTCCAAGGCTACAAATATTTTAGAAAATCTCTTAACCATTCTGATATGTCAGCATTTACTGCCAATTTGATTTGAAGAATTTAGGGGCATCTCTCTTCATAGCAGTAGAAATGAAGGTAACATGCCTCTATATTAATGATCCTTTAAGTACACAAAATCAGGGCTACAAAACAAACTGATAAAACTAACAGCTTCATCATACAAAAACTGTTTCAGACTAAAATATAATAGAGAAACAACAACAGAATAAGACAAATCTTTGGTATAAGTTTACAATAACACTGACACAGGGAAAGATTTCTGCTTTATTTTTTAAAAATATACAATGTAAAACTAGCTTTCTTATATTAATATAAGTATACAGAGGAGGCTTACATAGCGTTGGATCTGGTTTGCCTAAATTGTATTTGTGATTGCTGACAAAATCTCAGGCAGGCCTTTTTCCAACTTTGACTTGAACTCAACATTTGAACATCTTTGAATTGAACTCAGACTGTTGGTGGTGACAGAGTAGGAGCATAACTAGAGTGTGGTGTAGTGAATAGATTGTCAGACTGTGACTTGCGCAATTTGATCTCTAGTTCCCACTTAGGAACTCAGTGAATGATTTTGGGGCAGTCACTGACTCTCAGCCTCACCTAACCTACAGGTAAAGTGGGGAGGAGGCGCATTGTGTAAGTCATCTGGGTTTCTTGCAGGAAAAAAGGCAGTATGTAAATAAAATAAAAATATATTTTAGAATGATTTAATAACTTAGGGAAAATCCAGTCCCATTTGTTTGTTTTGTTTCACAGTTGTTTTATTTCTCCATGCCTTTTAAACCCCACTATAGCTTTTCATGTAGTTTTAGTTCTGTTATTTGTTCTCCAATTTCTTCCATTTGGTTTGGATTTTTGTGCTTTAATATAGTGATTTAATATATACTTCGTATTAGTGAGCAAAGTGTAAAAAGCATCACTATTATTATTCTCAAAATTAACCCCTCTACACACTTAACATATAATACCAGGTGCCAGTCCACTTTTTTAAAGGGGTTTACAATGCTAATAATAAAGGGCTTAGTCCCACATCTCTCTAGAAGTTCTATACAAGAGCACCCCTCCAGTACCCCAAGATACTGCCCTTGACCATGGAGGAAGCAGTCCTATCACCCATATATTATTTGTGGGACCACAGGATTTTTCAAATGCCCAAATTCAAGGGCAAGACAGCACTGCGGTCATGGACCAGGGGGTCAGCACTCTGCCTCCTTGTCCTCTCACAATGCAGAAAGAACTATGCCAGCTGCCCTCCCAGTATAAGAAGGCAACTGGAAGAGGGGGCCAGGGGGGCATTTCAGAAGTGAGAAGGGGACTGAGACGGCAAGGCACCCCAGGGCTTCTCCAGCCCTCTTCCCTCCCACTCCAGAACACCATTGCTAGACGGCCAAAACATTGTTGACACATATTCAGCTTAGGATATTGATATAACATTTTCCAAGATCTTTCTTGTTTATACCATTGTAGAGCCAAATATCTCCCATTTGGTTTCTTCTTTCTAGGTGCTGAACTTAGCATTTCTCCCTTTTAAATTTCATTTTGTTGTTTTCAGCCTAGAGCTCAAAACCTATCAAGATAATTTTGAATTTTGTTTCTGACTTCCAGGGTATTAGTTATCTTACCCAGTTTTGTGTCATCTGCAAATCTGATCAGCATTCTCTGAACTTCCACATAGGTTGAAGAGCACTGGGCCCAGGACTGAACCCTTTGGCACCTCACTCATTACCTTTTCCCAGTTTGAAAAGGTGCCAGCTATGGATCCACCTGATAGTTGTCCATCTCTTCATTTTTAGTTTGCTATCATGGGCTACTTTGCCCAGGTGAGTAAAACTTTATGTATATGTTTCAATCTGTTATGAAGCCACCCAAAATAAAAAAGCGTGTATTTTTCTGTCATAAAACTCATGCATATTTCTCCTATTAATCCAGAAATTCAATTCTTCCTTTAGCCTGTTTCCTGCCCCATAATAAGGTATTATTACACTTAACTCTTCCTTACCATCTCCCTGTTTCTACTCATATTTCAAGCATAAGAAACTTTGCTTAGCTTTTCTTGTTTTGTGTGGTATCTCTGGCATTCCCATTCTTTCTTTTCTTTCTTTTCTGAATATTTTAATAGAGGTCTTAATTTAGCTCATAAACACACCCATGATAAAAAGTAAGCTAAGAAGAACAAAAAGTCAGCAGAAGGGGGAAAGGGCTGAGAGGGGAGGATTTGGATCAGCATTCACTCCTAAAACTCCTTGCAGCTGTGTTCAGCTTATAACAGCATTGCCTTTTCTGATACGTCTGAATAGATGTCTGTATTCCAGGTACATATTCCACTTCAGAAGGCCAAGGGCTAAAGACACTTTAGCATTCCAAAGATCGCCCCTACTTTAAAGACAATCATCTCTTACACTTTATTTGGAAGTGAATCTCTAGAAAAAGGGAGGAGACGGCAAGAATCTCTCTCTACTGTTGTACACTTTGATTTTTAAAAAACATGAAACTTATTTTTAACTTAGAATTTATTTTGTAAACCTCTGAGTAGTAGCCAAGTATTTTGCTGGGCAACCTAGTTCCAAACAGACATGCACTGAGCAGTCAGACACCACAGTAAAATTGGCAGCAAAGGCTTCAGTCACAGAACACATACATTCAGATAAAGTATTGCATATACATGCTTTCCTTTTGCATATTTCCTGCCCGCTGCATGTAAAATTCAAAAGGGACCAGTAGCAGAAACAATGGTGTGCATCCATTCTCTCAGGATCAGTTGGTATCAGGCTGTAAGCTTTAGCCATAGGAAAGTTGACATTTAAGCACATGGAAACATATGTAGATCTGAAAGTTTATATTTACCTGCATGGAGTAGTTTTCTATTTCCTCTGCTCTTTTCCAGTACCAGTCTGTAACCATGCTTATTGAAAGCTCAGTGGTCCTATACTTCAACAATTCTGGTTGAGAGTCATATAAAAATTCACCTTCGTCTTGAAGAGCTGGTTCAACAGTCAGTCTGGGTAGCACAGATATAGAGTTGCTAAATGTCAAAGCATCTAACTTTGCAGTCACACTAAGCAATGCCAACACGTATGATGAAAAGGTATATATGAACTCAGAAACCCTCAATTCTTAGTGAAAAGTTAAGAAATGGATATTTGTCAAGGGAGGTGGGTCAAAAGGCTATTTTTCAAAAAGAAAAAATAGGATTTTCTAATTATAGATTACATAGATCTGAAGCAGACCGATAGGTTAGCCAGACTTATGCTGGTTTATCATCTTTTTAAAATTACATTAAATGTTAAATAGTTCTATTTTAAGGATCTAGTGCCTTTCAGAAATTTTCAGGGAGAAAGCATAATTTGCAGTTCACACTGGTATTTCTAGCACAACAAGGTATTTTATCACTGTGTAAAATCTTGCACACAGAGTTAATTATACCTACTGAAATTCCATCGATTCTGGGGTAATTAACCTTACTGCTGCATCAACTGCAGCAGTTTACACATATACATGTTTTCCACAGTGCTTGAAGGGATAAACAAGCCTATCTATTTAAGCAGAAAAAGCCCATAGAGCACAAAAACTTCTGTGGGCAAAACACCTGTTTTCACATGCAGAAAAGGATCTGCCAACGCAGCTATGACTTGGCTGCCAGGGTTTTCCCCAGACAAACCGTTTCATCCAACTTCAGCCTAACTGTCGTCTCATTAGGTTTGCCTTAGTAAGACTAACACTGGATATGATCCAAGAACAGGAGCAGGATGGAAGCAGCAGACAGAGCCCATGGATTAGAGGCTTGCTTCTCATTTGACTATGTCTGTCTGTCTGTCTGTCTGTCTCTCTCTCTCTCTCTCTCTCTCTCCCCCTACCTACCTACCTACCTACCTACCTACCTATGGCATTTCTGTCCTGTCCTATACAAAAGTCTCAGGACCTAATAAACCATACTTAAAAATTACTGCAAAGCCCTCATAAGGTAATCTGAATTCTTGTGCAACACCTCATAGAATCATGGAACAGAAGAGTTGGAAGTGGCCCTGCTGTTGCAGGTCACCTCATACAAAATAATTTCTTCGTGTATTGATACCAGTTTCTTCTTATGCATATGCTCAGAGCTTTGAACATATATTTCATGATCACAGCCCAGAGCCCTGAACATTCTGTGCTTCCTATTGTCTCTAGAAAGAAAAGAAGTGATCCACACAAGCTATGGATTTCTTCCTCCACAGGAGAATGGAGAGTCCTCCACCCATGCAGGATTCCCCACAGGTAAGTTGCGCCTTCTGAATCAGAACATCAGAGTTGCTGAATCACAATTCACCAATGCAAATATCAATACAGATTTCCCTGTACATGCTGTTGTTGTTAGTCGCAAAGTCATGGCCGACCCATCGCGACACCATGGACAACATTCCTCCAGGCCTTCCTGTCCTCCACCATCCCCTGGAGTCCACTTAAGCTCACACCAACTGCTTCAGTAACTCTATCTAGCCACCTCATCCTCTGCCGTCCCCTTCTTCTTTGGCCATCTATTGTTCCCAGCATCAGGCTCTTCTCCAGTGAGTCCTTTCTTCTCATTAGGTGGCCAAAGTATTTGAGCTTCATCTTCAGTGTCTGGCCTTCTAAAGAGCAGTCAGGGTTGATCTCCTCTAGGACTGACTGGTTTGATCACCTTGCAGTCCAAGGGACTTGCAGGAGTCTCCTCCAGCACCACAATTCAAAGGCCTCAATTCTTCGGCGCTCAGCCTTCCTTATGGTCCAACTTTCACAGCCATACATTACAACTGGGAAAACCATAGCCTTGACTATACGCACTTTTGTTGGCAGGGTGATGTCTCTGCTTTTTAGTATGCTATCTATATTTGCCATAGCTTTCCTCCCCAGGAGCAAGCGTCTTTTAATTTCTTGGCTGCAGTCCCCATCTGCGGTGATCTTGGAGCCCAGGAAAATAAAATCTGTCACTACCTCCATTTCTTCCCCATCTATTTGCCAGGAAGTGAGAGGACCGGATGCCATGATCTTAATTTTCTTAATGTTGAGTTTCAAGCCAACTTTTTTGTGCTCTTCTCCTTCACCCACATCAAGAGGCTCTTTAGTTCCTCTTCACTTTCTGCCATGAGAGTGGTATCATCTGCATATCTGAGGTTGTTGATATTTCTCCCAGCAATCTTAATCCTAACTGGTGATTCATCTAGCCCCGCCTTTCTCATGATGTGCTCTGCATATAAGTTAAATAGGCAGGGCGACAGTATACAGCCTTGTAAAACTCCTTTCTCAATTTTGAACCAATCAGTGGTTCCGTGTCCATTTCTCACTGTTGCTTCTTGACCCGCATATAGATTTCTCAAGAGACAAATAAGATGATCAGGTACTCCCATCTCTGTAAGAACTTGCCACAATTTGTTGTGATCCACACAATCAAAGGCTTCAGCATAGTCAATGAGCCAGTGTGGTGTAGTGGTTAAGAGCATGGGACTGGGACTCAGATGATCTGGGTTCTAGTCCCCATTCAGCCATGGAGCCAACTGGGTGACTTTGGGCCAGTCACAGCCTCTCAGCCCAACCTACCTCACAGGGTTGTTGTGGGGATAAGACAGAGTAGGAGATGTAAGCTGCCTTGAGACCTTTGCAGGAAAAAGGCAGGATATAAATAAATAAATAAATAAAGCAGAAGTAGATGTTTTTCTGGAACTCTCTAGCTTTCTCCATGATCCAGCGTATGTTGGCAATTTGATCTCTAGTTCCTCTCCCTCTTCGAAATCCTGCCTGTATTTCAGGTAGTTCTTGGTCCACATACTGCTGAAGCCTAGCTTGTAGGATTTTGCTAGCATGTGAAATGAGTGCAATGGTGCGGTACACATATCCAAATCAGATATACTCACCTGCATGGTGGTCTTTCACACCAGTCTTCTTCCCTGTGCTTCTGCTCATTCCAGGGAAGAATCTTCAGTGCACCATCTTTGTAGCTGTTGCAAATATGAAAAACAAACACAACATGTTGAAAGCCAGTTTGAGAATGCACAGATCCGCTCTTTGGAATAAATAAATGGAGAGTTAGACAGCAGTACCACTTTCCACTACATTCAGCCCTCCAATAATGCTTTCCCCCCTTATAGATCAGAAGTATGAGACACTATGATCCTATAATACCACCTACAGAGTAAGCTTCAATAATAGAGATTTACTTCCAAGTTAATGGGCCTAGGATTGTCCTACCAGTACTTTTAAGGGGCCTCCTATCTACTGGACATAATTCCTATCTATCTGAACTTTTCTTTATACCTTGAACTTGCCAGGTGACCCACATAAGGGATATCTACCATTCTACATTTCACTATCTTTTCATGCAGTAACTGGGACAGAAAAGTATCTCTAGTATCAAACTTCCTCATGTGTAAGCTGTCAAATCCAATGCCTCCCATGGCAGTTATGTCTACTATCACCTGACTCTTACAGAGGTTGTACCTTTTGAAGGCAAAGAGAGGAAACAAGAAAGAGGACAGAGGTGCCATGCAAAAGCTGAGATGCTAATGCAGAAATGTAGCGCACAGAAATAGAATCTGTTCATTCAGTTTGTTCTTTTCTTGTAGAACTGGCATAATGGATTATTTATTATGCAAATCTCTATGCTGCCCTTTCTGAGAACTTTCCAGGCCAATTGAAATTAAAGAGAAATACAAAAACAATTAAAATGCAGATGCCACAAATCAAAATGCTTTTAACACACAAAGATAGTGCTTATTTGTTCTTTCAGCCTGAAAAGCACCAATCCTAGCTCTAAATGGCCAGCAAGAGCTCTGCCTAAGCAAACATGCAGGCAGAAACATAGTGGAAAGGAGGGGAAATATAGGAAAGCCAAGCAGGATGCCGAGCAGGTGAGTGACATTATCTTTCAGGTCACAAGGTAATTGCTCTGGCAAATAATGGAATGAAAATGAGGCATTCTCAATTTACTGTTGCTCATGGCAAATTAACATAGAGCAGAGCTTGTAGAGGTCCAGATATTTTGGATCACAGCTCTCATCATCCATCAGTAGTGGCTATGCTGTCTAGGGCTGATGTGAATTGTAGACCAAAAACATTTAGAGCATCACCCCCCTGCCAGAGAAGAAGGTAAAGAATGAGGAAAATAATCAGGAAGAAGCTGGTTCCTTCTTTCCTTTTCTTTCACAGGGTTCCTATTTCAAGTCAGTAATTTAAATGGTGAATCTTCCTGGAAACATTGTTGACAGTTCTAATTAATGTTATGGGATTAAAATACCTTTAAACAAACAAATAAAGCCAGTAGTTACTTTTCAGCTGGTTGAAGACCTTTAGTGAAAGTTCAGTGTTTACCAAGCAGCCCCAGAAGGCAGCCCCACTGAGTTCAAGGGAGTTCACACTCAGGTAACTATGCACAGGTTTTCAAAGAGTCATGCTGACAATAGTGGACCTATTTAAAGATCCATTACATTAATTCATTTGTACACCTAGATAATCTCTTAAGGATATATTAGCAGTATCTAAATGTGCTCTAGAGCTAGTGCTGATGACAGAAAGCAATGCTTGAACTAGCACCCTCTAGGGCAGGGATCCCAAACCGCAGGCCACGGACCTGTTAGGAACCAGGCCACACAGCAGGACTCTAATTTCAAATTGTCCACCGTTCAAACATTAGAGTCAAGATTGCTCCACCCTTCAAACAGTGCTTCCAAGTTTGAACTGCGAGCAAAGTGAAAAAAATGCAGTTGTGGTTGTGTGCCAAAGCTGAAAAGAAAAATACATTAAAAGACACATTGCTTCGATATCTTAAATCTATTTGTCTTGAATCCAATGATCTTGAATCGATTCAGAACACTGAGGCAGCCATGCCAGTGCAACTAAAGACACTCAAGAATGAGGGGGTGAGTGTGCTCTAAGCGGGGGGGGGGGGGGGGGGGGGGGGGTTTT